CCTGAACACGAAGAGCAGACATGTATGCACACCAATTAGATTTCTTGTGTTGATTTGTTTCACCTCTGACTTCGTGCCTTTTGGGGGTGGTACCTCAATTCAACTTCGCTGACTCATCAGCCATAACTCTCCAAGGATATTGATTCCCTCAGTTAGAAGCTTGGGTCTCCGGGGAAGTCCCATGAGCGGACCAAGGCTCTTCATGAATGGGCATGAAGGACATGTTCAGACTCCTTCTGCCTCTGAGTTTCAATGGCGCGGAGGGAATATGGGATTTTGTGCGCACTGCCATCCCATGACATGCCCTGAAGAAAAAGCTCGAAAGAGGAAATGCTCAGGCAAAGATTAGACTTCCAAGCCACTCATCTGTTTTCACCGTGGGCGGAGTGGTCGGAACCTATTTCAGTGTCTAAAAGCTTGGTGGTCCGTCTTTTGAGCAGCTTTTGGCAGGGAACCCAAGAGACAAAGGCCACGATCCGAAGGCAAGTTTGGGGTCAACGGTTTGTCCCAGCAGGTCACAGTCAGCAAAGACAATGTGAAGCATGCGAAGCTCAAGGCATCTGCGCGCCTCGGCAGCGGTCGTTTCTTGGGGGAGTGTTGAAGAAGGTGCCACTACTCTCACCCCCAACATGGCGCCTGACAGGGGTCCCTACAAGAGGAAAATCAACTTCCAGGTACCCTCCCAAAGGTGCTATGTTAGTGGAAAGCAATAATCATGGAAGGTTGCATTTGATTGGAAGACTACACTCCTTTTCAGGAAGCCCCTGTGCACTTTTATGATTGTTGCAAAGGGGGCATGGGCAAGTTGCCGCAACTCAGAAAGGGTGTTTTGGGCGACCTCTAGTTAGGGGCCCTGATTTCACTGCTGTTTCCATGATGAAGGAAACCAGCAAGGGCATGGATATTGTGCGGTGGCTGTTTGTCTACAGCCACTTCTTGACGCTCAGTTTTGAGGGCTTGAGCCAGGTCAAGAGAAAACCCTGCAATTGTATTCGGTCCCGACATAGAATGAGGGGATAGTCCTATGATTCTAAGTTTAATTGGCGAGTGCCTCCGTCAAAGGCGGCACAAGAAGTAAAAGTTGCCACTTGGGGAGAACCATGAAGGTTCGACACTGCTGCTCCGAGCTGAAACATAATCACAGGATAGAAGATAGAATTGGTTTCCCAGGGCGCCTTAAAAGATACATTTTGCTCATTTGAAACATGACTTGTTCTACCAAAATAAAGGGAAACCACCATTTACAAGGCAATGTTCAGGTGTATAATGTAAGGATCCCTGTTTCCGGCCGGTTTTCCTTTACCGGCCCAACTTTAAGCCTCGCCGCGTTCAGCGCGACTTCCGCGAGTTCGCCAGAGGTCCACCAAAGCGGCCCACTTCTTTGGCGAACGGGCGCTGATGAGCAACGAGCAACTCGGTAAAAGACGCTGACATGTGACTGTGGGTCAAAAATAGGTACCCCAAATGGAATCCCAGTAAGTGGATACATGGACCAAAACCTGCGGTCCCCTGGTGGTAATATTTGGACCCACAGCCACATGTCATGGGTGAAACACGGACTTTTACTCAGTTGTTCAGTGGCACCAGTTCTTTTTCTCACTTTTTTTTGCTGGCTGCCCCACTAAACATGGTCTTTCCCAAAAAGGGTTCCCTTTTTTTCCAGGGTCACTGAACAAGTGAGTTTAGCACAATGGGAAGTTGTTCACAAAGCAAGGCAAGCCTGCAATGCAAGCTGCAAATCATTGGCGTGCATATCTAGCTTTTGGTGCCATGCACTCAACGTGTTGCGGGGTGACTGAAATTAAAGCAAACAATGTAATTATATATTGTGATAGAATGTTGGAACCCAAGTAATAAACGGCACCGGAATGGCGCAAGTGTTTGCTTACCGAATAAAGGGACGTAACAACGGAAAGTCATCACCCAAATAAAGAATACATCGGAGGAGTACAAAGATGTTCAGATTTACGCACAATCAAGCCATCAAGGCTCCAGCTGGTATCCATTGCTACAAAGCTGCAGGGCCCGCATAGATGCGGCTGATTAAATCTGCAAGGCTGGCATGGGTTTTGCCGCATACAGGCTGCCTGGCCTGCACGGATTCTGGTCAATTAAAGATGTTCAATCTGAAAGCGTTGCCCAAAAGCAAGCTTGTGCCAAAAAAAGCAAACGATGGAAACGAGGACGAACGCCCAAGGCCCACGTCCGGGCCAAGTTTTTGGCACCATATTAATGTAGCCTCACAGTTAATTTATTAAGGTGCTTGACTTTAGCTCGGGTACCGGATGTAAAAGCGTGTAGTTTAATTCATGGTTTTCCCAAAAGGCTGCCACATAACGCCTTTTTTGAACTGTCAAGTTCATGCTTTCGCTTGCCCGTACAAGAGTGTGCTGAATCCTTTAGAATGAAGGCTGTCGGTGGGCCCGTTGCGCAGCCCCCAGGCCACGTGCAGCCACAATCACCGTCTCCTCGAACGAGGCAAAAGCATTGGCCTCTTGCACTCAACCAGCAGGCTTGACACCGTGTGGTGGGTGAAATATTTCGCGATTTGACGAAAGGCTCAAAGGACGACGCCCATGAAGAGTACTCGTGGGGCTCACTGCTTGCCGGCAAACGACTTCCATTTGCTCAAGAATATGTTTTATTTTCCCCTGTTGGTCTTCAAGGGAACCTACGACCGCCTATGACATATTTTCGTTTTTTTTCCCGGGGGCGAAAACGCAAAAGGGAAGGTGATGTTTGTCGTTGCGCTCGGTTCGTGAAGCTGTACCCATTGCCCATCACCGTCAGCGGCTTTTACTCCAATCCTCGGGCCTGTTTGAACGGAGGGAGCTTCGCTTGAATAGTTCGATAGGTTTGCATATACATATATATATATACATATATATATATATACATATACGTATATACGTAGTCAATATTTTAAAATCCCGATATTGTCTAATTTGGGACACGCATGTTGCAGGGTTTCAACGCATGTGATTGTCACCCCCCCCCTGCGATTCGCCTGCGATAGATGCAAAGCTCCAATTGCCAAGCTGGTGTCGTGATAGCTGTGCACAGGGATCCTCTTCAATGAACCATCGGCCTCCCTCAACGATTTGCTTTCCACAGATGTCAATTGCCCCAACATATCCTTATTTGGTGCCTTCCGTTTCGCAAATCGCTGCCAGCTACATGAATCAATATTGCCTTATTGACAAGCCCCTCAGTCAAAAATGTGAGGTGCTATGTTCTCCGGATGAAAGTATTCAATCCAGAACCAAAGGCGTCGCTCCACGCAGACACACAATCATCAACTAAGTGTCTATCCTTTCCATCTTCACTCACCTTGCAAAGCTGCAAAGTGTACCTTTTGCTGGCCTGTGGCAAGATAGCTTGCCAGGAAAAGGAAGGCCTAGAAGTCAATTAACCCACAGAGCGCGGAGAAACAACTTTCATCCGGCATAAGGTTCTGGACCGCATCGCCTTCAATCTGCTGCTGGGGCCATTGGAGGTGCTGGGTTTCGGGATTTGCCTTGACGGGGCTCGAGGCCAAACGGGTCCCGCCTGGAATGAGTGTGTCGCTTTTCTTTGGAGACTTTTTTGGGGTGGTTTAAGAGCAACATCAACAGGAAACCGCCCATTTGGAGGGGTGCCCCATTTGGAGACACTAGGGTCAACACAATCTTGTTTGAACAAACAAGCAAACGCGCTTCCACTTGATGCCCCTGAAAAAGGGGCTAAGCGCCCTAGCCGTGGTTGTTGAAACCGATTTGCACGTATAGTCCCTGGACAGGCTCTTTGAGATGGCTGTTTTGCCATTCTTGCAACCTCCTTTGAGTCGACAGCTGCTGGCTCCGGGAGTCAAAACACTGCTTGTCAATTGAGCGCAATTGGATTCTTGAAGGCCTGTTATGTTGTGTTCTTGTTACTTCCTACTTGCCATTGCAATAGGGCCAACGTACCCAGACGCACCGAAGTTTTTGTGAAGCCTTGTGCATGGCCATCACCCACACGCTTCTTGTAAGGACGCCACCGCTCGGAGGCCAGTTGCCGAACCTCTCAAGGGCTGTTGCCTGGGCACGCGCAGGATATCATCAAGGCGCAGGAGGAAGGCAAACAGAGGAGCTGCGCCATCGGTAAGGGCCACTTGGTGGCATCTGGGTTCGTGTGCGCGCGCGTGCTTGTGGGTGTTTCTTGCTTGCTTGCTTGTTTGTTTGGTTTTTTGTTTGGTTGGTTGGTTGTTTGGTTGGTTAGTTGTTTGGTTGGTTGGTTGGTTGGTTGGTTGGTTGTTTGGTTGGTTGGTTGTTTGGTTGGTTGGTTGGTTGGTTGATTGTTTGTTTGTTTGTGTTGTTGAAGGTACACATCGCAGGGGCAGGTTTGAAAGGAGGCCAAACGGAAAGCAACCATATATATATATACATATATATATATATTTGGGGGGTCCCCTACTTTTCGACATAGCCAGCTCCTGATGGGCAGATTGGTATGGTGGTTTGCAGTTTGAGAGACGGTTTCTTCATTAATCCAGAACAATGAGTTCCACACACATCCCAAGAACGATTGAAAGATGTCTGGACGGCCAAAGCCCCAAACACGGTTAGTCCGTGGGTTCCCAACTCAAGGCATAGATGTTCGATTAGCAGACTTCGGCGTGTAGGCGCAGATGCTTAGCGTGTTGGGAGCACTTCCGCAGACTCTCTTCAAGAAATCTTTGGGTTATAGGAGAATCTTAAGGAGGTGTGTTTGTGCGTGTGTGTTGGTAATTACCTGGATATTCTCCTGACAACACACCTCAGCACGAGTCATGATTCGTTTGACGCGGCGAGCCCTTCCAGATTGTCGAGGAAATGCTCCGGTAGATTGGCTTCTTCCACTTGAGCCTAAATGTTATTAGGCCTTTACCAGTCACGAATTTGAGGAAGCCACAAGCGATGATAGGGCGACATCCATTTGAAATGTGTCTCATGTTCACAAAGCCCACCAGGTCAATCGGCTGCCAATCGAGCTCTCACATGATGAAGGCCCCCTCCTGGGGAGTGCGGATTAGCCAACATAAGTACGTAATTATGTTTAATGGCGTATATTGCATGTTTTGTAGTTTGCAGATATTTTATCTTGGTTGCTCCCAGCCATCCCCTTAGCTTTTTAGCCTTTTAGTGTTTAGTGTAGTTTCCATTTGACCCACTAAAAAGTTAAACTTTTAGCGGGGGATCTGAGGGCAGCCCAGTTATAAATGGTTCCAGATGCACATGTTGGGATTGCGAACTATTGACGCTCAGAGATGCAAGCAGATCTTCCTTATGCCGAGGCAGCAATGCCATTGAGAAGCGAAAGAAGCAGGAGAGGATCCAGCGAAAGGACATCGGTGGGCGTGGGCCGCGCGATTTTGAGCGACTACTAGGTCCCCCAGTAGTGCCCTTTTACCCCTTTTTTGGGGGAGGGTTCCCCTACTAAAATAGACTACAGAAAAAAGGTTACCCTTATTCGAACCTCTCTACTGGAGGACCTAGACTAGTTGATGTTTTTGTTCATTTTTTTTCAAGACTGAACGAATATTTTCCTGGCTGTCCCCAATGAGATGAAACAGCGATTGCCGGTGTCTTCCCGCGCCTCCGCCCCCCTCCCCCCCCCACTGGTTCGGAAGCCGGATGTCGTTGTTTTTTTATCCGAATTTTATCCCCAATCACCGCGAGGTCGGGATGGATGAACGCGGAGCGGTGCTTTTTTGGCGGTTGATTGGAATGTCCCATCCACTTTGACTGTCCTTTTAAAGGGCTGGGATATCCGGACAATCTGCCAGTTCCCTTGGTACAACACCCAAGCCTGAGCCCATGTGGGGTTGGTTCCCTTTCCGCATTGGGTGACTTGGACAATGGGTATGGATCAAAATGAAACCCCCATGATATGGACGGCAGCTCTCAGTCCTTGTTTCCATTTAGCGGGGCAAGCCATTTGGGGTACCTGGACCCTCAAACTATACGCTTAACTGCTTAACACTGGGAATTCACCCCTAAAATATTGGGGCAAAAGAACCCGTTGGTTCGGGTTGTTTTTGGAGGGTTCAGGGTTACCCCATCTTTGGCGCATTTTCGGGGGGTGTGGATCACTCCCCGGGTTTGGGGCGCCCCAGACCCCCTCGGCTTGGGCGTGAGGACCTGGTGCGCGTGGGGCTGCTGGGCTGCGGCGGCTTCGGCTCCGTGGAGCTCTGGGAGCACAGGCGCCGGCTGGCGCCCGCTGGGCGCCGCTGGGCGCTTGTGGGCCCGAGGGAAGGGAAGGGGCAGCCCCCCTTGGGGGGAAAAAAGCAAAAATTGGTAGCAGGGCTCCTGAAAAGATGTGGCCATTTCGCAACAAAATTTGAGAAGCATGGTGCTTTTTCGAACCGCCGGAATGAAGAAAGGGAAACCGCCATTTACACGTTGCAATGTTCAGGTGTATAATGTAAGGATTTGTGAGAAACCAAAAGGAAACCAAAAGGGAACCAAAAGGAAACCAAAAGGAAGCCAAAAGGAAACCAAAAGGAAACCAAAAGGAAACGCGAGGCACACCGACATACTCATGTAGGCTCAACTGGACCTTTTTGGAAGGCCATCAACGCATTGTGGCATGGTTCAACATCGAGTATGTGCACCGACCTCTTTGTGAAGGCCAACACTACGTGTCAAACTTCGAGCACCCTACTTTAAATTGTTTCACAAGATGTCCTATTGTTCGCATGGTCATGTGGGAACTGGCAAGGCAACTGCGGACATGTATCCTTACGTAATTTCGCGCCCACCCGAGGGTCCGACCACTTAAAGTTGATGGCATGGGTGTGTTTGTTTGTCTTTTGTTCAGGGTACCCTTTGGGGGGTATTAAAAGGGGAGCCGAGTGGAACCACACCCACGCTGGGGGTCCCTTATTTTGAGACACCCACATGGGCAATGGCCCATATTCACCATTGAATCATCTACTTTAGTCCAGGGAATGCCATCGGGTACACCAAATTGGCACTAACGTAAAAGGAGGTTCATCAAACTCCAATGTCATGACACAATGGGGGTGTCTCAAGATCGGATTTGCAAAACCCCCAACATTGGCCTTGTTCTCCTTGTTTTCCCAAGCCCAGCAAGGGTCCCCGCATGAAAAGAGCCACGCAGGGACTCCAAGGAGACCTATGCCATGAAATGCGTCTCCAAGGGCTTCATCGTGAAAATGGGCCGCCCGGCTTTCGGCCTACATGTTCGGCTCGCGGCCCGTGGAAATTCTCCGTCCCCGGATGGAGAACTGTGTGCAGGGGCCCGGGGGTGATGGAGCTGGAGAAGGGATCACAGAAAATATGTTGAGGTCTGGAATAGAGCATGGTGTGTGCTTGCAACCCTATCAATTCATTATGTGGTCTTCCAGACTGAGATGAAACGGAATGAAACGGATAGTAAGATTTGAGTGGTTTTGGCAGACCCACTGCAACTAGACCACGCTAAGTCCGCGCGCGCAATGTGCGGTCAGGTGAGCTTATGCGCTGTGAACCAGTTCAAGGACAGTTATTTTGAACACATTCAGCCAGTACAAGTTGGGATACTCGCTGCAAATCAGTGCATCCAGGGTTGAGCAGGACAGCCACTGCAACTATTCAAGGATGCTGCCATCAAAGGAATGCATGTGAATAGATGTAGCTACGCCTGCATATGTACTCGTACATATGTTATATATTTATACTACATAAAACACATTAGTGCGCATATGGTTTTTGCACAGTTGCTTTTGCTAGGTTTTTGTCAGCCAACAGATGCTGCTACTGCTAAGCTGGAAAAACCAAAAGAGCGACCACATAGAGAAGGCAGTGCCGTTGTCACATGCAGCAGAGAGCGCTTAGACAGGGGCACATTGCGGCAATGGTGCGCAGATTTCATAGTTGACTATTTCTTCCAACACAGCAAGTTGTGCAGAGAAGCACAAGCTAAATACATGCACTTTGTCTCACCGGTTCTGCGTGCCAGCGTCCGACAAGGCATGCAAGACAGCATCATCAATGAGAAGAACATTCTTCTCATGACGAACTCCTTCTTCATCATAAAGCTCTTGGACCCGTGTCTGAAACCAACAGATGGGCAAACAAGGGCCTGGGCAGATCCTTTTAGGCCCACACATACTGAATGACTGAGTTCTTGTAGCCATTTGGCTATGTATATAAATTTGATGATCCATGACTAGTTGAAGAGGGAGAGATCATCGAGTAGAGGTTGTTGCATGATCGACAGCAAGCACTATGCAATGCATTGGCGACATACAAGCACACGCAACTGAATTGCATGAAAGTGAATCAGAGCAGCCCTTCCAGATAAAGGCGCTCATCTAAGCGGTAGAAGATCAGTAGTATGTGCGTCTAGGGCTTGGTTTGGGTGCCTTTCCCTCCAACTTTGCCTGGGTGCGCGCCCACAGGTGTTGATTCTGGTTTGCGTATTCCAGGTCGCAGATGTAGAAAGCGACCCAAGACGCTAGTTCCACACTCCTAGGGAAGGCCCGTCAAAATGCTTGGCTCGCGTTTATTCGCTTTAGAAACATCTCTCCCGTGTGAGGGTCTGCCACAAAACATCCAGCAGTCCCTGGTCCATTGCAGAGGGGAGTTGCTGTCTTCTGCCCAGGTTCAGTAGGGCCGCAGTAGGGCAACCGTACATTGCTTCACGTGGTTGTTGTTGGGAAACATTTTACATGTTTGCTTGTTGTGGTTTAGTGGTTAAAATCCAACCCCTCAACTGCTAAAATTTGAGAATTGTTGCCCCCCTTCCAACGTCAACCAAGTTCAGGGGTTCTCTTGGTGACGCGGATCCCAGTTTTTTTGTTGGTTGTTTGTTGTCGTTGAAAGGAGGCTGACTCGCAGGGCGTTCTGTTCTTTCGGGAGTTCTCCCAGGGTCAACATGCGAAGGAGTGCTTCAACGGATCCCAGACGTTGTACTTCCTCATGGAGCCGGCCTTGGGCGGCGAGCTCTATGCCACCTACAACCGGAAGGGGCTTCATGGGATGCTCGGACAGAGCAAAAGGGGGATGCTGCTGAGCTCCCTTTGGCCTTAAAATCAGCCGCCTTAAAATGGAATCCCCGAAGGTAGCAACATCCACAAAGAATCACAGAGCAGTTTGGGCCTGCAAAGGGTGGGGGGTGAGTTGGATATGTAACGCTTCCCCCTTTTGGGCAGAAAAGCCCCAACCCACAGGGGGTAAGCCGAGGGGCGAGTTTTTGGGGAGATGATTGAAGCCCTGCAATCTAAATCGTTGAACTGGGGAATGAGGGATCTCTTGCGCAAGCGATCCTGCAAGTAGGATCCGATCTTGCCTGGAGCTCAAGGTTCGTGATAGCCTTGTAGCTGAGATATTGGCCAATGACCAACAGTTCAACCTCAAAGAGGTTGCTTTCACAAGTCCAAACAAAAGAACACTGCATGAGTTTGGGGGAACATGGGCTCCTGTTTGGTGTCTTGGTCCTCCAAAAAAAAGGGGGCACCCTGAAAGGGGGGCCGTAGTCTGGCGAGCCCAGCTCTGTTGACTCAGACTGGATCAGCATTCGACCCTTGTCGCGTCTCCTGTTGGCTTACGGGGTTGAGTGCCAGACAACCCTTGGCTCGCTTGGCTTGGGAGCAATCAAGCAGATGGCCAATTAGTCCCAATTCATGCCTGGGGCCCCAAAACACTGTTTTTTTTGGTCAAAAGGCTTTGCCCGAACAAAGTGGTCATACGGCCAAATACTGTTTCCTTCGCTTTCTTTTCAATATTTTATCGACAAAATACGGGTTATATACGGCCAAATACGGGCAACTCTGGCAAATGACCGAAAAAAACAACCTATATCGGGTAAAAGCATGCCAAATATGCCTTTTGACCGAAAAAAAGTGGCGTTTCGGGGCTCCAGGTGGACAAGGGGACTCGGAACACATAAAGGTTGAGGCCCTGCAATGCGTTCTCTTCATTTCCTCTGAACAGGATCATGCGGTTTTCCATAGGGGTACGTGTTTTTTTGTTTGAAGGGAATGCCACAAGCAAAAATTGGCCAGGCTGCCTGGCTGCTGCTTTTTGTTGCTGTTTTTCGGCAGAAACGGCCCAAGAGCGGTGACCCTTTGGGTTGCCTGTCCTGAGAACTCCTTGATTGGCTGTGCGAGGCTGGGTTGATAGGAGGAGGGTCCCTGTTTTTGCAGGCACCGTGAATGTGTTTAGGAGCACAGAATGGAGATGCATGGGTTTGCGGGCAACTTGGTCCTCACTTCTCAAGGTTGCAGTTGTCAAAGCGACGACGTTGGCGGTTCTCTGGAATGTTCCACGTGTGCAAAAAAAATAGTTTGTGAGCAAGGTCCCTTGAACTATGGATTGATTTGACGCGAAATCCAGGACATGCAACTTCCTTCCACAGTCGAGTGGGATCTTCGTACCTCGGGATCATGGGCGCTCTTCACTTTGCACATGTAACCCACGAGTGTGCCAAGTGGCATTGAGATATGCATGCGATGGTTTGAACCTATCCATTGGTTGCGAGCAAGTGGCGCTGTTCGAATGAGGAGCGAAAAGCACACCAAGTTCTACATCGCAGGCGCCAAGAGCCGGTTTTGTTTCGGTTTATTCTCCTGGGCAAACGGCCACAAACATAGTTTGGCATCGGAGCTTCAGCATTTTTCCTCGAGGCAGCCTCCAGGAAATCCCGTAACTACACAGCCCCACGCGACTCGAAACCTTTTTTGCAAAACGATGTGGGCATGTTGGACACAGCGGGGAAGGAGCCCGCTTGGAGGGAATTCGATCCTTTGATCCCTTCATTCAGTTTCATCTGCTGTCCTCACAAGCTCCCGCTTGTGCTTTTGCCCTCACAGAAGCTCAAGTAGTTCTGGTCAATCGATTGATGATCAGAGAAAGCAATCTTGTAAAAGGCGAACAAAAAAGAATAAACAAATATCCCTTGCCTCTTGCCAATCTGCTTCCGATAGGTACTCAGCCTCGGGGTGTCGCGGGGGCCGTCGGGTCAGGGCACCGCACCTTTGCAAGGCACGGTGTGTGCTTTGGCACATCTTCATGAGCGGCGAATCATCTACCGAGACCTCAAGCCAGAGCTGCTCGGAGGGAAAGTCATGGTTACTCCCCCATGATTTAATGGAGGAACCCAAAACCGGAGCCATTTTTAGGATCGGCATCTCCAAAAAGGGAGACCCCCCCGATTTTGGTGTTCCATATTAGTATGTAAAACAATAACAGACATTGACATGCGTGGTTACTTAAAGAAAGTCATGGAGATAGGTTTCTGCTAGTGGCCCAAGTGTCTCGGCTTTTTCAGCTTTTGGGTACCCCACTCAAACTCATAGCTCATGGACTCATGTCTCATGACAAATCCCTCAAATTAGGTGGGGAACCAATGTTGCTTCGTTTGAGCTTATTTTGGTTCTCTTAATTTTTGGAATTGCACGTGTTGTCGTGTGCAAAGCTAACAACCCTCAGGCTCGCAAGTACAAAAAGGATAGATTCAGACAAAAGCACCAGGGACAACTACACAAGTGGAACCCTGACAAGAGCTTCTTCGTGTGGCGGAAGTTGCAGCAGCAGCAGGTCCCATTGCCGACTGTCAACGGTTTCGGTCCATCTGTCCACTGGCAAACTAGATGATTTGGTAAGTCTCTTCATCATGCTGGCGACCTGAAAGTTTGAACTGCTGTTCTGGCCCAGTGCAGCAGGTCAGCGAACAATTGCCAATTTGCGTTTTCCTCTAGAACGATTTGGGCTATATACACACTGAGTATTGGGTTTAGGCCTCGAGGCCTGCTATGATTCACTGGCTACTCATACAGACTTCAACCTAAGGCCAGTCTACTTTACATAGCCATTCATCCGATTTGCTGCATTGCTCGTCTTGGTTTCCTCGGTCAAGTGGTGCTGGCAATGTTATGTGTGTCTTTGGGAAGGCTTCAGAATCCGTTTCGACCCCCAAAGATGCATTTCCTTTCAGCTATGATCTCTATTCTGTATCTCCACGCAAAACGGCCTTCTTGCTTTTGTTGCAAGTCCTTCCCACCTTGTCCTAGCCAAGTTTCAAGCAACATTGGTGGACTTGCCCCCAGCCACTCTTGTCATGCCAACTTTGGAATTATCCAGAGGATTCCCTCGTGTTGGGGTCGATTCCTCGGAATAGAATAGCATGGTCCGGACGAATCGGAAGTCTCCATTTGTCGCGGTCAATCAGCGCGGCCATCAATTAGCTCCTCTCAGGAATCTGCTGCTGAGCGAGGGCGGGCAGCTGAAACTCACAGTCGCTTGCCAAGTCTAGGTCATGGTTCGGTTCCTAGGACCAATTCGAGGTTATGTCCTAGGTTTTTTCAAAGTACATGTAGTCGATTGTTCATTTGGGAGAGACATGGGGAGAGAATGGGAGTTTCATGGGGAGCCTACTAATTTTCCCACTAAGCACAGGGAGGAGCCTTAAGCTTCCCAATGTCCTCTTCGGGCAACAAGTAATGTCGACCTTGCCTTTTTGTTGTTTAGCAAAGGATCCAACGGATGGCGGCCACTTCGGGAGGTTCTATGTGTCCCGGTGGAGCCAGTGTAACCCTCACTTTGGCAACCAGTGTTTAGATGAGCTTCCTGGTAGGGTTGATGTAGGGGAGGGAATCTCTGGGGTGTCAGAGCCCAAATGGACTGAGAGACCGAGATGCCATGCATTTGGACTGTTCAAAAGCAAGCCTACTCTTTTGGGGTTACGAAAAGGCCGTAGTGACGGCCATTGAGCATTGAGTTGGCCAGTCTTCTATTTTCCTATGGTTGTCAAGGGCTGCCCCAACAGGGCCTTCCCAATCCCGATACGGGCTGATAGCGACTAATACGGCCCAAAAAGGGGCGAACAGGGTTCCTTGTGCGTGCCTTTGGCGGGTCCAATTCCTCTTCGGAGGCCCCTGACCATGGAACAGCCCAGCTTGCGTGATCCCAAGGCGTCCACCGGTTTGGATCCCCGCGAAAGAATAACGCATGCTGGGTAGTTCATTTCTGTCAGAGTGGGCTGTTTCGGGGCTTCTTAGGCCTTGGTTTGTGTTTCAGCCAGGTTGTTTTCTTGGTGATCTTGAGCAACCTTTGACAGGGCCACGCAAGTCCCGGTTGATTTTTGACGGAAGACTTGCGAATGATCCATTTGTGGGGCTCCAAATCCCTGTTTTGACACGTACCCATCAACCGCGGAGGACATGGGTTTGGCCAAATTCGTGGTGGGCAAGACCTACACCACCTGCGGCACGCCAGACTACTTCTCTCCTGAGCTGATCGCTTCTTCTGGGCACACGAGTCTTGGCTGGCGGGCAATTGGATGGCTGGTGATCCCAGAAAAGTCCATGAGTTCGACCTCCAGGAGATTCGGTGGCCCAGTCGGGCGACTGGGGCCCTTTCCGAGGCTTGTTCTTAGCTCAGTGGTTCCCAGCCATCCGGTTCCTTAGCTTCTTGGCTTTTTCGTGTTTAGTGGTTGGATTTCCATTCAACCTGCGAAAAGTTAAAAACTTTGAGCGGGGGATCTGAGGGCAGCCCAGTTAGGAGAAGGAGTCTGGGGAAGCCGTGAAGGATGGGTACCCGACGTTTGCTCTGACACGAGGCACCTCGCAAGGCGAACAAGAGCTGACTATGAGCTGTGCGACTTGTCAACTTGTATGTTTCACCAAATAGGTGAAACAAGTGAATGAAGCATAATGCCAGAAGGTTTGGATGGCTGATATAGAGATAATTTTTTGGGGTGCCTTTCCATTTGGCCGAAGAGCCAGGGCTTCAAATCCCAAACCAAACCGCCAATTGGGGGCAACCTCACGATCTGAAAAGCAGAAACCACACAAAATATTGTGCTGTGTTGGGGAAATCAGACCTGAGTGAAGTCTAGCCCTATGTGCTTGGCATTGCATTAGCTTTGTAATGTTTGGTTTGTCGGTTGATAGCTGAGCTGGACCTTCCGATTTCTGCAAAAAGGAACAACAACGGTCCAAGTGCACTGGGGCTCTGGTTCTCGGCTTGACTTGACAGCGCCCCTTTTCATGGCCGGTTCAGACATGGGAAACACGACAAACAGCGATTGTGCTCTTTGCAACTCAGCTAAATCCATCATGTCTAACGTCCTGCCTGCTTACCCTGGCAAGGCTGATGTTGCAGAACTAACGATTCTTTCTTGTTCAGGGTCCATGATTGCTTTTGCCAGGGTTGCCATACCTTGCAATGAGAATGCTGTGCCTGGCAGCTTGCTACATGCCACACCCATTTCCTTCACCCCTCAACTTGGACACGCTCATTCTCAAGCGAAGGTTTCGCTGAGCAACAAAAGAATGGGGTAAACGCTGAACAGCTGGGGTTAGAATTGGGGGTTTCCTTGTGAGGCGTGGGATGCCCCCCCTTGTTTTCGCCCATTTTCGGGGCTCTGAGGATCGCGGTGGACTGGTGGACGCTGGGGATCTTGCTCTTCGAGCTGATGGCGGGGCACCCGCCCTTCGAGTCCCCCACACCAATGGAAACCTATTCCAAGGTCATGCGCCCTGGCTGAGTCGACTCGGGCGGACGGACGGGTGAGAGACGGGGGGTCCCTTTTTCGGGCCGCGTTTGTTGGATTCGACTTCACATGAGCCGCGTGGCCAAAACCGATTCGGGTAGATGAAGGTTAGTCAGGGACAATCCCCTTGCCATATATAGCTGCGGAATTCCGCCTTTTTAATTCTTGACATGGTTCTGGGTAGACCATTTTAATACCCGGTATTCATTACTACACAAGATCCGGGACCAAGAGATTCGGGGGAAGCCTTGAAACCCCGTCGCGGAGCTCAGGGGAAGAGGTCCACCGAAAAAGTAAGACGGGTCAGTGGGCGGGCAGGGCAGCTGTGGGCGTGTAAGTTGGGGCAAGCGTGGCGTTTAAAGGTTTTGGTCGGTCAGTGCATACTTAGATACAGATAATATGTGTGTGCGTGTGCTTGATTTCTAATATAGGATACATAGATCTAGAGTATCTGTACGCATTATGATATTTTCCCACAAGTCTATGCCGTTACTGTGGCCTCATATCGGGCCCACATGCCAAACACATTCTTCCAGGATTGCCCGTCCCAGCACCGCACTTAGAAGCACTCTTATTGCATGCATACCTGATTCTCATTTGGCGTCCCGCAAGTCGATGAGTATGTGTGTGCTTTGTTTGGATCCAGCACACAGCCTGCTAGATGTGTCAGGTTTGATTCTGTTCAATCTTCTAGCTGCACAGCAAGGAGAAAGCAGGGCACCATGGTTCGTGCATGGATAGTGGCCAACAATCTAGCAGATGCATTGATTAGCAGACGTATAGGTGATCTTTGAGTTGGGCGACACACCATTTTGATCCGTTCCAGGCTTACGAACAGGGGGAGAAGTGACTTATGTGTTTTGAATTGGCGTTGCCGGAAACACTGAGATCAATCTAACTCCTTTTCATCCAGTGGAGCTTTCCAGCGGATTTGCGCAGCTAGAAAATCATCTTTGACATTATCATTGCCTTTAGTGAGCTGCCAGAAGCATACACATTGACACACGCTTTTATGCAACCTGTGAACATTGACCTGTGCAACCTGTGACCTTGGCAAGTCTATGAGCAGATCCGGTCTTCAGAACTTGAAAAACGGTCCGTAAGTAAAAGTTCGTCTTGGGAGGCTTCACGCGATTCCTCCCTTCGCCTCCCCGCCGCCTTGTTTGCTTCCCGACAGCCCTGGGCCTTTCCTGCCACAGCTGCGTTTTGCAATACCTATGCCCCACCAAATTGGCCTCCACAAACTTGGCGTTACATTACATACTGCCGCCTGAGCTGCATCCCCGGCACCCTCGTGTGCGGCGTAGCGGCGCTTTTTTGGATTTCGGGCAGGCACGGAGGGCTATCTTTCGTTCCTCATTCCACCCCTCAAGTCTCATGCTTCCTTGCGGCCGCTCAGGAAAGGCATCGGGAAAGTGAAGATGCCGCCAAAGTGCCAGGGAGCAATCGGAGATTTGATCAAAGGCGAGGCCGAGCTTCAGTTTTGGCTGGCGTGAGTGTGTATGTCAGCATGGTTTGCTTCTTGTGCATGCATGTGTGTGTGTGTGTGCGTGTGTCTCTGTGTTTCTCTGTCTCGCTGTCTACGTGTGTGACAGAGGGTGGAGGGATGGGGTGTCCGGGGGGGCATTTGCCCCGTGGCTATGCGAGGGAGCGTAGCTTGTACCGCTATTGGCCAATGAAAGGTTCATGCGATACTGCGGTCTTGGGTGGTTTGCTGACACCTCTTGTTGCAGTCAGCGCATCCAGTTGTTAAGGTCGGATGTTTGGTGTTGTGGATGGAGTTTCCCACCTCAAGCGCGAGATGTGTGGCGCACATATTCAGCCATTTACACACCTTCAGCCAAGAGACTCTGCTCATGAAAAACGGAGCCACGTATGACCACTGTATGACTGGCGTGCACGCGGGACAAGGCATGTTTCGGCCAGTGATCACAAGTATCTTGGGTTGTAGCCAGTGATCATAGATATCTTGCCAATGTCGCAAACAGCTGGCACGGGGTCCCGTTCGGTGTGTCCGGCACCCACCAAACCAACACAGCATAGACCTTGGATCTTGACCCTTTACCGTGCTCAAATATGGTCCTAGGAAATATCTATCCTCCCAGCAAAGGTGGAAGTTCACAGACCCATTTTGCAAGACGATTATCATGCTTTCCTTTTGGAATGGGGTTCTCGTGCAGGTCTTTTTGGGAGCGAGTATCTATATATATATATATACCTGGCTAGCCCTGAGGGTGACTTTTTTTTGTATAGAGCGCGAGAGAGAGAGAGAGAGAGAGAGAGAGAGAGCGAGAGAGAGAGAGAGATGTTGTACAGGGGCGTATATGGTATACCTCCTCCGGGTTGCACGTCGGCGCAGTTTTCCGGAAGATTTGGCAAGGCCTGCTGAAGAAGGAGCCCAGCGAGCGCTTGCCTATGCGACCGGGGAGCACCCAGAACTTGAAAGATCACAAGCGCCTTGGCGACGTCTGCCACTTGTGTCCGCGGACCCCAGCAAACGAAATGAGAGAAGAGGCGGAAGCGAAAAAAAGTAGCAGCCTGGCAGACTTCTTCCCAGTGCCCAGTGGATTCCGCCCTTTTGTCCTTAGTTTTTGGGTTTTGGGTTCTCCTTTAGCCTCAGGCGGGTTTGTTCGGGAGCAAAGTGGCTGCTCAGCGAAATATGCCCAAGCAAACTTGTGGGCAAAGTTTGGAGCGAAATGTTTGGTTTGCTTCGCAACTTGAGTAGTTTGGGCTATACTGGATTCGGGGTGTCCCTGACACATGTTTTTAGAGGGTTCCAGACAGGTTTTGGGTAAGTTGCGGTTGTCCGAGTCCAATTCGGTGGTGATTTCTTCTGTCAAGTAAGGGAGATTCTAGGGCTCCTTGATCAGGGGGGGAGGTGGAGGGGAAGGGGGGGGTTCACTTGAGGCTTTTGGCATGGGAAACGGGGGACCTGTGGGCAGCCTGACGTTCGCCACTCCAGCCTCTATTGAATGGCCAGTGGCAAAGCTTGAGAATCCAACTGTCACACGAAGCTCGGCAAAGGCTTCTTCGCATGCCTTATTTTACACGCCAAAGATGCAGCTTCCCATGGGAAGGTTCCCTCAAGGGAGCCCCCTGCGATGTTTCAAACGTGTGTCATGGTAGGACCTTCTCGCGTGTTTTGCCCGAGATCTAAATCAGGTTCTAAATCCATCAGTGCCTTTAGGATCCGGTTTGGTTTGCCCCCCTGGCTTCTCGTTCGCAAAACTGAAGGGCCACAGCTCAAGCCAGCCAGCCAGCCAGCCAGTCCTGCTTCAATCCGCTTAGGTGGTATGTGGGCTTCAACTGGGAAGGAATGGAGCCTTGGCTTGCCGGTTCCGGTTGGGAAGCTTCGCGACCGGGTTGTGGGTAGATGTGCCTAGTGTTGATGAGTGTTTGGGCGCTTTGACTTCACACTTGCGCAGAAGACCGTTTTTGTGCGGCAAGCAGTTTAGACTTGTTGACCCTTCCCAGGAAGTAAGAGCTTCAATCCGGTGTTTTTTGGAACTGATGTTTAAGTGTGCCTAAATATCTAGGGGCAAATGAGCAACTGTAGGTGTTCAAGATCGGGTAGTAAACCAATGGCAAGCAAGCAAAAGGGCAAAACCACTCACATGGAAACAGGGGTGCTTGCGTTTGGCCTGGCAAAGGGCTGGCTGGCTGATGGGCTAGCTGGCTGTCCGCATTGTCCGCATGGACTTTGTGCTTTGCGCTTCAATCCAAGCTGGCCCCGTTCTTGTTCACGTGAGTCCTGCGGATACCTTTGCTTCGTTTCAAAGCTACCCCGCTCTTCAAAGCCCGTTGTGGCCAGGGTCTCGCTCGCCCGCAGCTGGGACTGCTCATCCCACATCGACATGTGGCTGCGAATTTTAACGGGGCACCCCCTCAAAAGCGGTTTGTGGAAAGGACCCCCGACCTATCTGATGTCCACCAAGGGGTCCCCAAATTACTAAAGTTTCACACCCATATGTGTGTCTTTGCGAAACGTCCGCATGATTCTTCAGTGGGCCATGTCTCAGCTGGTGATCAGCACACTCCCCACGGCTTGATTGAGAATGTGAAGCCCGGCTAGTAAGCAGGGCTCCTTAAAAGATACATTTTGCCCAAAATAAATTTGACACCACCATTTACAAGGCAATGTTCAGGTGTATAATGTAAGGATCCCTTGTAAGGCTAGCAAGAATTTCCTGGGTCTTGGGCTCTACATGTGGTTTCCCTTTTGGCACCCCGCAGCCAAGGAAAGCCAAAAGCTGGATCCGCCCTACCGGCCAACTGTGAAGAGCAGCCTCGTTGCATGAGTGCTGAACAGGCAAGCCACGAGGTAGCCTGACCAGCCACGAGTTAGCCTGTTTAAAAGTTAGGCACCCTTTTTTCCGGACATGTTTTTGCAAGGGGATCACAATGAAGACGCCAATTTCGAGGGCCCATTAGAACTGTAGGATTTGCTGTGACCCTACCTTGTGATTCTCTTCTTTCTCTTCAGTTTCCTCAAACATTTAAATTTAGAAGGGATTCCGAGTTCTCAAAGCTTCCAAAGCTCTGTTGAGCTTTCAACGATGTCATGATCTTCTTGACAGAGTGATTCAGTGATGCCTGGGGGAATCAGCGCACCCGCTCTTTACTTCTCTGTGACGCGCACCCGGGCCCTTAGTGCCAAACTTTAGAAGCACGACAGAGGCTCGGTTGGAATGTTATTTTAGCAACATCGACATGGTTCAGATAAATGGAGCCGGGGTCTACCGGCGACGTGGCCTTGATGAAAGGCAGAGTAGCAGGCAAATTAAAAAAAGAGTTCCATTGCACACATGTGTGAGGTTGCCTTGCTACACGAGTTTCAGTCTCTTTGCTTGGGCAGGCATTTTGCCTCCCAGCTTGAGGCAAGAAAGACTTGTCCAACTTCACTGCCAGAAAGGAGCGGGCCTGGGGAAGGGCCTCCTGGACCTGATGCGCGGAAGTGGCCCTCTGGAAATCAAAGGCGGCTCTTCTTAGTTGGCCATTACCAGATGTGGCTTCTGCCAACATGTTGGTGGCTTCTTCTTGGAAAGTGAGCTTCTTGGAAAGCCGCGAAGCCGTGATATGCAGTGAAGCCTGCGTTTGCAATGCTCAAAAACCGTTGGTTACTTGAGGCGACAAGCTCGCCGATCCCTTCAATCAAGACTTAAATGGGTGCTATCAGCTGTTGATACCAATCCCTTGGTATTGTTGGATTGTGCTATATACATGACTTTGGGGTGGGAGGACGTTTGCAAGCGCTGCCAAGTGGTGGCAATAGAGAAAGGTCTGCCTTTGCCTTGTCAATCAAACTCATAGACGCCAGGAGTCTATCAGCAAAGGGGTAGGACTAACTGCTTGACGGATACTGTGCCTGTGAGTTGAATTTCCGCTAGCGGAGGTTTCGCAGAAGGATTTCATGTTTAAAGTAGTGCTGGCTTGAAGTTGTTGCTTCTTTTGGCAGTTGGGAGTCACGCACAAGGGGTGGGCCTGCTTTGGGCGAGCAAAACATGGTATTCGCACCAAAAGCATCGCTGCGTGACATCCTTTGACAGCGGCAGTTGCAGTCATTGTCATGGCAATGGGAGGTATGGCTACATTTAGACAAATTATAACGAGCTTACCCGAAGCAAAATGGAGCTCACCCATTATGAAGGTCCTTTACCCTTCCCCAGAATTAGCTCCCCTTTTTGATTTGTTGCTTTTATGGGGTCCGTTTGTTTAACTTTCCACTAACCAGGCAAAGAATAATCTTTTGCTGCGGTCCTAATTCCAGCCTACCTGAAAACGACCGTCCTACGACAAGGATGACATGCCTCAGCAGCTGGAGTACGAGGATGATGGCAGCGAGTGGGATAAGGACTTTGCGTCTCGGCGGCACCGACTCCGTGTCCCGATGACTCTTGGTTTTTTTTTTGGGGGGGAGAAAGGCGCGGTTACTTCCCAAGGCCATGGAAGCTGAGGCCACTGGAACCACTCTGTGACCGTTCAGGTTTTCATCCTTATGGCCCTTGATGATTCCCTAGTTTGCAGTCTCTCTGTCTCTCCTGACATGCAATGGCCTTTGTTTCCTCAGATCATTACCCTGCCGGATGCATGGAGTGAGCCATGACTCTCCATCGATGTCAAGATCTGACGTATTCGTATCATAATTATCTCAGACCCGAGCGCGGTTTGGCCGCAACGAGCACAAAGGAAGGACGTGTTTGGTTTTGGGAAGCTTGATGCAGCAGATGCTTACAGCATCCTGCGCAATCAACTTACTTCCTGGCCTGGGTGGCTTATTTCCTGTTGTTGAATTGATCATCCTAAAAATGCCAGGTGCTTCAACTTGTTTGATGTGGGATTTCTTCCAAATGGATACCTTGGGCCTGGCAGGGAAACGTGGATGGGTTGGATAGATTGGCCAATCGGGGCCGCTAACTTCGGAGCTCCTTGCGAAAGATTTGGTTGTTGCTCCCTTGCTTGCTTCTTTGTTTTGCTGCTTGTCTTTCGCTTGGTTTGATTGTCTTTAGGTTGGTTGGTTGGTTGGTTGGTTGGTTGGTTGGTTGGTTGGTTGGTTGGTTGGTTGGTTGGTTGGTTGGTTGGTTGGTTGGTTGGTTGGTTGGTTGGTTGGTTGGTTGGTTGGTTGGTTGGTTGGTTGGTTGGTTGGTTGGTTGGTTGGTTGGTTGGTTGGTTGGTTGGTTGGTTGGTTGGTGTGTTTGTTTGCTTGCTTGCTTGCTTGCTTGCTTGCTTGCTTGCTTGCTTGCTTGCTTGCTTGCTTTGCTTGCTTGCTTGCTTGCTTTGCTTTCTTGCTTGCGTGATTGCTTTGTTGCTTGTTTGTTTGTGTGTGTTTCTTTGCGTGTTTGCTTGTTTGCTTGTTTGCTTGGTTGCTTGTTTGTTTGTTTGTTTGTTTGTTTGTTTGTTTCCTTGCTTGCTTGTTTGTTTGCTTGTTTGTTTGTTTGTGTTGGTTTTTGTGTGCGTGTGTTTGTTTGTTTGTTTTGTTGGTTCGTGGTTGGTTGGTTGGTTGGCTGGTTTTGTTGGTTTTTTACTTGATCGCTTGTTTGTTTGTTTGTCTGTCTGTTTGTTTGTTTTGCTTGCGTGCTTGCGAGCCTGCTTCTTGGCGGACTTGCTGGCTTGCTCGCTCGCTCGCTCGCTCGCTCGCTCGCTTGCTTGCTTGCTTGCTTGCTTGCTTGCTTGCTTGCTTGCTTGTGCCTTTGTTTTCCTTTGTGCTGTTGCGTATTGTCCAGTCCTGTCTTGGTTTGGCTTGCTTGATTGCTGGCTTGTTGGCTGTTTCTTTGTTTCTTTGTTTGTTTTTGTTGACGTTATTGCGTGCATTTGGGGGTGCGGCTTGTTCGTGTTCTTTCATAAAGAGACAGGTTGAAGATAAATGGGGTGTGTTCTTTCTCTCACGGCTTCAATGACCCGAATGAATGTTGTTACAACCTGGCTTTGCTGTGTTGACATTGACATGGCCTGACCACCCTAGCATCATATCCACCGCTAGGCCACTTGACGACCTGACAAGGGCAGTGAGTTAACGATGCAGTGAGCGAAAGGAGGCGCGCAAGCAATCGACCAGCTTTCCGGCATCGACTCAAAGCTAGGATTTACACACGGCTGTGGATTCAAGGACTTGTTTGTTTGAACGGTTATCGCGTGTTGGGTTGCACACAGCAAAACAACGTGCACTGTTAAGACAATCTAATTTGACCACGCAGCCATGCTAGCGTACGTGGGCACTCATTTTGCTATGTGCGCATGCTCGAGTGAATGTATGAGAGCAATTATCTTGCAATCTGCCCTTGGCTTGGTTGCAACACATAGGCCACATTGCTTCTCAGCAATATCCAGCCATATTCACGGAACCCAAATTGTTGACAAAATCCGTAAATGACCGTATGGCCATTTTGTTTCGCGGCCCAAGCCAAAAAGAAACGTCACATATGGGATTTCAGGCAGTCATCGTCTTGTTTGCATGCGTTTCTGGCGAGAAAACCACCCAGACGCATCCATGCCACAGTCTGCTCACTGCCGCTGGACTTCCAAGACGACCCGCTCACGTGTGGAAAAGCCCAGGCTCACAAGAGGATGCTAGTGGCAACATGACCCTTGTTGAATTCAAGCGGCTGGGGAAACAAATATAGAATGCCAGCATAAGTTGATCATGTTCATCATTTGCTGCATTAGTGACCTGGAGCGGTTCTCAATCAAAGGGCGTGACCAGCATCGCACTGCAATATCAAAGAGCGGGTGTCCGGATTGAGAGTTTTCACACGTCGGCGACGCTCGGTTCGGCCGGTTCCAGTTGTGCGTGAAGGAAAAACAACTGACCGAGACGCAGCTTGGTTTGCCTCACCTATATGCCGCTTTATACGACCCCTTTGCAATTGCACCGCCAGGAGGCAGCTCGCTTCCACATCTAGCATCAAGAGCCCCACATCCCCACGGAGCATTGATGAACCAGACACGATCAAAACCCTGACTGGTGTCTTGAGGGCAAGAAAGGGGTTCCAGCCTTGTTGTTTGTTCTAATTCAATCGGGTGTGCCAAGTTTGGTGCATGTCAATTGATTCATCGACCCGCATGGGCCGACCAAGCACGGCAGAGTTTTGCGCACCGTGTTCCTGTTCTTTGGCAGGGTTTGCAGAGTGTTCGAAGTGTCGAACAAGTTGTCGCATTCTCTTCTCCTCGCTGAGAGCCTTACAAGGTATCGAGTATCTCAATAAGCAAAAGCTGGGAGAGCATGTTAGCTGCTTTTGCAAGATGTGGTCCAATAATGCAGGCCAAACCAGCGCACAAAAACAAAAAGTGCTTTGCAGCTTATGGCAATGTCCTGGAGATCAGGAGCAAGGAAGTTGAAAGCTCGTTTGCTGGCATTTGTTGCCGGGCTATGTTTTATCATAGCCTCAGCACTGTCCAGAGAAATAGGCCGGATTTGGATTCGCTGACACATTCCGCGGCTGGTTTTCTCGGTCAACGTCCGACAAATCCGATGGTACAAGCCTTGAACCCTTGGAGCGAATCGGCACTTGTTGTGATGGGATTCCTTGCTTGCGTGGTTCCCCCCTTCAATCCTGTAGCACTGATCGCAGAGTCAGTGCCTCTTATTGTATCCGTTCTCAGGTCGATCGCAAAGCCTTCTTCAGTGTACTTTGGTGCATTTTGCCAAGGGATGTTAGGACTTTAACTTTTTCCAGCTAATGGTTTTTTTTGTTGAACCACCAAAAGTCAAAACCTTTAGGAGGGCTTCGCAGATTTCGCAACCGAGTGATGTGAATTGTCATCAGCTGGTGTCCTGCACTCCGATTCCGGCCCAAGCAGTGATGGTTGGATGGCGTCCATCGCCGCCATGAAACTCGGCGGAGTGCAGCCCACTGATTTTTAGTTGCTTCAGCTTTAGTGAACTAAACACGGTCCCCCAGTAATGTCTTTTACACTTTTTTGGTTGGGAGGGTTCCCCTACGAAAATAGGCTACAGAATAAAAGGTGCCCTTAGCCTAACCTCTCTGCTGGAGGACCTAGTAAAGTTGACTTGGAAGTTTGACATATCTCATCGAGAGTTTAAACTCTTCGCAGACTGAACTAAGGAAAGATGGAGATGTGGAGAGCCTGGTGCAGAGCTTGGTGCAGAATCAAGAGGAAGTCATTCGCAGCTTGGCGCGATCAAAATGATGCCGAACGCATATCGAAACCTTTCAGAGGTGGGCTTCGGGCAGCAACACGTGAGTGAGGACAAGGCAAACATAGAGCCGTCACAACTCATCTGAAAGCTGATTCTCGGTTTCAAGAAACGCGTCTGGAATGGAGCACGTGCTTTGCGCTACATGATTAGGATGATTGGAAGGCACCGACAGACATATTCTGAAATGGTCCACAGCTGCGTATGGCTTCTGCCTTGCTGCTCTCCATTCATCAGAGACCTGGCTGTATGATTGCCTGTAGCACAAGGGGCTCCAGCATTATATGAAGGCCATTTTGCAGTGACCGAGATCCCTTTTGGACACCTGTTCTTGCGTACCACCGTTTTCAGGGAGTCCAAAAAAGAGTCCATGATTTTGGCAACTCTCCAAGGGATCTACACATGAATGTATGCATGAACAACCCACATGAGGTATCTACACAGGAACCACAAAATTTTCATGTATCAGCTGGGTGTCTGCTAAAAGGGGATGGAGGCAACCATCGTTTCCAGGCTCTCGACTGAAATCAGCCCCGCGAAAGTGCACCCGATTCACTCCATGAGGTTTCTCACGCCAGTCGTTGCTCAGGTAAGAGCCATGCGGACCTCATGAGCCGGTTGGCCACTTGGCTTTGCACACGGGCTGGTCATACACGCCCACGTCATGGCGAGCTCGGTATGTTGCGTTCCTGTGATTGTGTGTGTGTGTGATCGTGTGTTCGTGTGTTCGTGTGTTCGTGTGTTCGTGTGTTCGTGTGTTCGTGTGTTCGTGTGTTCGTGTGTTCGTGTGTTGTGTTCCTGTGTTCCTGTGTTCCTGTGTTCCTGTGTTCCCGTGTTCCTGTGTTCCTGTGTTCCTGTGTTCGTGTGTTCGTATGTTCGTATGTTCGTATGTTCGGGTGTTAGGGTGTTCGTGTGTTCGTGTGTTCGTGTGTACGTGTGTTGTGTGTTCGCGTGTTCGCGTGTTCGCGTGTTCGCGTGTTCGCCGTTCGTGTTCGCGTGTTCGCGTGTTCGCGTGTTCGCGTGTTCGCGTGTTCGCGTGTTCGCGTGTTCGCGTGTTCGCGTGTTCGCGTGTTCGCGTGTTCGCGTGTTCGCGTGTTCGCGTGTTCGCGTGTTCGCGTGTTCGCGTGTTCGCGTGTTCGCGTGTTCGCGTGTTCGCGTGTTCGCGTGTTCGCGTGTTCGCGTGTTCGTGTGTTCGTGTGTTCGTGTGTTCGTGTGTTCGTGTGTTCGTGTGTTCGTGTGTTCGTGTGTTCGTGTGTTTGTGTGTTCATGTGTTCCTGTGTTCCTGTGCTCCTGTGTTCGGGTTTCGGGTGTCCGGGTGTTCGTGTGTTCGTGTGTTCGTGTGTTTGTGTGTTTCTGTGTTTGTGTGTTCGTGTGTTCGTGTGTGTGTTCGTGTGTGTGCGTGTGTGTGTTCGTGTGTGTGTGTGTGTGTGTGTGTTTGTGTGTGTGTTCGTGTGTGTTTGTGTGTGTTCGTGTGTGTGTGTGTGTGTTCGTGTGTGTGTGTTTGTGTTTGTGTGTTTGTGTTTGTGTTTGTGTTTGTGTTTCTGTTTCTGTTTGTGTTTGTGTTTGTGTTTGTGTTTGCGTTTGTGTGTGTGTGTGTGTTTGTGGGTTCATGATGATGATGTTGATGATGAAGAAGAAGAAGAAGATTGTGATGATCGGGATGAGGATGAGGATAAGGATGATGATGATGATGATGACGATGACGATGACGACGACGACGATGACGATGATGATGATGAGGAGGATGAGGATGATGATTGTGATGATAGGGATGATAGGGATGAGGATGATGATGACGATGACGATGACGATGACGATGACGATGATGATGATGATGATGATGATGATGATGATGATGATGATGATGATGATGTGATTGTGATGATGGGGATGAGGATGAGGATGAGGATGAGGATGACGAGGAGGCCGCTGGTTTTGATGCACCGCAACCTAGTTTGCGCAACAAACAGCTGAATTGGGAGTGAATCCCCCGATTGCTACCCAGATGACCTGCAACTGAAACATGTTTTCATACCAACTTTGGCAATAGCTAGGATGGGCGCCTTCACGGATTTACCTGGTGCAAAGCACCAACAACACCCAACAGCTGTGGTGCTTGTGAACAAAAAACAGTCAGTAGTCAGGGGGAGGAATGGACAGGATAAGTCTGAGCTCCTCGACTGAACAGGAAGGCTGGCTACAGAGCCTTGACTCCTCCCTGGAGAAGCAGAGGATGGCTGAGCTGTCGTTTTCTCCGACCTTAGACCATTCCTCGACCTTCGCGCTCTCGGAAACTCGGAGAGGTTTGTGGCTGGGGAGCGGGAGGTGCAAAGCCAAAGTCGGATAAGTTTCATCCATTTGCTAAGAACATGTGTTATTTTCCCTTGCTGGTTTTAAAGGGAATCTATCACTACTGGATTTTTTATTTGTTTTTATTTTTTTTTCCAGGGGGCTTAAGCAAATGGAAGGTTTGCAACTCCATGGAATCAAGCAATATCCCAGCTGCCCAGTGGTACCCTTCTTCCAACTTGTTTTGGGAAGGGCTCCCCTTTAAAGTCAACCAACCAAAAACGGATGCCCATTTTTTCATGGAAATCCAGTGGGCATCTGAGATATACGCCATGTGTGAGACGAAGCATAAAGATTTCTTGAAGAAGTAGGATTGAATGGCCGAGTTCGGCTCGTGCGTTGGTTTGATAGTGGGCCTAATAATTTTGCACCAACAAGGTCGTGCCCTATGTTTGCACTTCTCTGTTGGCTTCTGGCGGGCGTTGAAGCAAAAAACAAGTCCTGTTTCGAGAAAATTCCTATGGGAGGTCAAAATTGGAGGTTCACTCGTATACTTCCAAGAATATGAGCCTCCCCAGTGGTTGGTGTTTCCTTGCTTTCCTCTAGACGCCAGCCAAGCGGTTTTCCGGAAGGTAGAGCAAATGATAGCGACGCAGATCATTTCACGACCTTACCCATGCCGCTTGCATTCCCAGACCTCCATGTGGGTCGGTTTCCAAATGGGGGACCCCAATGATGCATGGTTTTCTTTCAAAACAAGCCCACAAAGGTAACATGGCAGCACAGCACAGTTCAAATGGCTATGTGTCCAAATGAGGGAACCCCGATGATGGTGGGTTTCCCTTTAGAACCATGGGCATGCTTGAGCAAATCCTCCGGCCTCCTTTTGCACCTCACAGGCCGGAGTTCTGGCAGTGGTAGGATCCCGACGGTTGCTCCAAGCTCAAGGACGAAACCTTCAGGGTAAATGGCTTGGTTTCGGGGGGAGAAAGAAACTCGCAAGCGCTCGTGACTCGTGGCTGACGTCAACGGGATCAGGCTCCGGGCTCCCCCGATGGCTTATTGCATGGTATGGCAAGTGGTGGAGTTGAGCCAGTTGTGTTCGTCCTCGTTTTTCCAGTTGCCCAGCAGAATCTGTTTGTTGCTGAGAGTAGGTTCCCCTTTCATATCTTTTGATGTCAACCAGTAGACGGAAGGCTTTGTTCTTCCCAATGGCCACTGGGCAAATAGATGTTTCGCCCAATGTCTCCCAGGCTCATAGCCATCAGCTGCCCGAGATGTACATCTCGGAACAGCAGTTGCCAAGCGAAGGCCGCAAACCCCACCGCCTCAGCAGCGCGTGATTTCCCATTCGTTTCAATTCTGGTGATTTGGAGATTTTGCAAAGACTGGGAAGCCAGGCCAGGTTGGCAACTGTGAGTGGCTCGCACGGGATCTTGGACCATTTGTGCTCAAAAGAATTGGAACATGAAACATAGGGTCCAAGCATGGCCTCTCATTGGAAAACATGCATGTCGCCGCTTGCATGCCCATGCTTTTTCGACAAGGGACGTATCTGTCCAGAAGGCGACCGGCTGTATTTCATCGAATGTGCCGATTTCCACTCGACACCCCTCAAAGCAAAGCCAAGAAACTTAACCGCTCTCCCAATGTTCGATCACTCCGGTCTGGGCTTGTCGGAAATAGACCGCGGTAGCTTTTGGGACCCTTGGCGTGTATCAGCGCAAGCACGGGGAAGCCAACCCTTTCATGTCGGCCTGCATTTTGGGAAACACGCATTGGCCAGGGGCAACTCCAAAGGGGTTGGGGATGCTGAAACTGAAAGCAAGGAGCGAGATGAGCGAGGAGCGGAAACAGAATACCAAGAAATCTGAGGCAAAAGAAGCTCCATGCTGTGAGACCTTCCAGGATCCTTTTCAATTGGGAGGTAGAGATGTCATCATCCCCCTTTTTTGTGGTGACCGTACCCTTAACTTCCATCCTCTTGTGGTAAACCCGGGGAAGGTCGATGAACCTCCTCGCGCCTAAGTTTGTGCACAGATATCCCGGAGCAATGCGGGGAAGGGTGGAAACACTGCAGCCAAGCTTTATACCAAGAAGTGCTTGCTTGGCTGACGACAGTTTCTGGAACCGAGCTGCCGAGGAACCAAACACGTGGGAAAAGCAGCAGGGTTGTGGGATACGTGTTGGAATCTCCCCGTATGGGGAGGTTAGTCTTTCGTGTTTTCTCACACATTCGTGGACTCCACTTCCCACAGCCCTGAAAGCACGAATCGCAAGTGACTTGCTTCAGATCTGACGAGGCGAAAAGGCCGGAGGCGAGCTCATGTCTCCGCGGCGGATCTCGGAGAACTCCGTGACCAGCTACGACAAGGCACCCAAACGGCTTGAGCAAATGGAGTAGGAGCCCAGCCCAAGAGCTCATTTGAGGCGCTGGGGGGTTCAAGGCCCTCACATTTGGGTATGGGTCAAAATTAAAGCACCAGGGGACCGCAGGTTTTAGTCCTTGGTTCCATTTGCCAGGGTTCCATAGGGTTCCCAAAACGGGTACCTATTTTTGACCCACAGCTATATTTCGGGTCTTGGGCTCCTAGGGGTGGTTCAATCGGTCACACCCTTTGAACAGAAAGCGCTGGTATCAATTTGGGCTGTGCGGAAAAGATTTGCCGATGGCAGATCATTGGTATTGGGCCATTCCAAAAGAGGTCTCGAAGGGTCCCCTGCAAAGTTGACCTATATAGATGTTTGTGTTTTTTCTTGAAAACATGAAACATCGAAAGAAAGGTAAGCACAATATATTCACACAAAACAAATATCTACCACGAATTAACGTGGAACCTGACAGGGGGTCCTGGAAGACCAAATTTTCCACGCAAAGGGACCGGGACCCGGTCAGGTTCCATGTTTGGTGGGAGGATATCCAAGAAGGCGAGGGCGTTCATTTTGAGTCCAATTTCCAGATACTATCAGCTTGGTTGCCTGGCCGGCCAGGAGTCGGTGGATATTGGGTGGCACCCCCATTGGAAGGATCAAGTGGTGAGGTCCCATGTCAGACGTACCCTCCAATTTTCCCGGAGCCACGCAAAAGCAGAACCTCCTGTACCGGACGAAGAGTTGGGCGTGGCTCAAAAAAGTAAAGAGTTGGTACGCAGGTGTTGGTCTTTGTTTTCAAGGGGCCCAAAAATTGGTGCCACTGTTTGGAGCCAATGCCATTTGATGTAGCATGTCGAATAGGCATTTTGAAAAAGGAACGCCAGGTTGTCAACTCCAACATACCTGCATTCAATATGTTTTAATCCACCCACCTTAGAGGCCAGAGCACGTAAGTACTGTTTTGGGGCCTTGGACCCTTGCCGCCATCATGTCGAAAGTAGTCATAAGGTCAGCCTTTCAATTTGACCAAAGAGAGTGCCAAGCATCTACTTACTCAACTAGTACTAGCGAGTTTGATGTTGTTGTCGCCCCCACTCGTTTCGCAAAAGGCAGCCTTGAGACTACCTTGTGCCTTAAGAATTCCTTGCGTTAAGCTTCGGAGAGCTTCCGGGGCGGGTGGGGTGGGGGCCGGGATCGGTTCGCCGCGCCCTTCGAAACGTGCGGCGAGCTCAGAGCTGCAGCTTCGGGTGGGTTTGCGCGACGAGCCCGTTTTTTTTGTTTGTTTTTTTAATAAAAAGAAACGCAAAAAACACCCGGTTTTGACTAACCTCTTATTTTGAATATGGAACTCCCCAACGTGGTTGTCCACGAAATGGTCCCGAATGCGGAGTTGCATTCGGTTGGAACCTTCCAGTTTTGCTCTCATAGTTCCGTACCCCTTTCTTGCTTCATCCTGCCGATACCTGGAGCCTCAGTTCGCAAGATGGCACAAATCCGGCGGTGGTTCCTTTTCAAGTTCCATGTCCAACCCCTCCTGAAGTCAAGACCGGCCAGCCAGAGTAGACCTGCGTTCCCATCGGCATATTTGAGTGCCTCCGTTGTGCGTCAGTTGTTCGTAGAGTTGGGTAAGAGGAAACACTGCAACACAAACGACCCCTGCTTTCACCCGTATCTCAGAGTCGTTGCTCGGGAAACAAAACAATTCCAGGCAGGACTTGTGCGTTCTATTTGCGCGGCCTTTAGTGAGCAGGGGTAGGCACAACCTAAGTCCAAACAATCAATGCCTGGTCTAGAGGCAGACCAAAGACATTTTGTTGAACAATGGTGGTTTCAAGCCCGTTGTTTCGGCAAGTGCAGCTGCTTGGCGCTGAGTCGCCCCTAGTAAAATTCGGGTTTCAACATAATGGTTGGCCAAAGCCGGAGGCAAAGCAGGAAGGCTCCAAGATCGAATTGCGGAAGGAGTTGCACTCGCAGACCATGACTCCCAGCTACAAGCGTGCCCTGGCCAAGGCGCCAAGGCGCCCGCAACATGTTTGAAGCGGATCTATTGCAGACAGGGGGTCGTGGAATGTCATGTGTGCTGGGGAGGGCTGGTGGGCTTGGAGGAGTGGCTCTCACGTGAGCATGGCACCCCAATGCGAGCGACGCAAGCCAATGCGAGCGACGCAAGCTACAAAATGTTGGCAAAAGGAGTAGTTCGCGGTTTGGCTACGTCAAGCTGCAAGCCCGAAGCCAGAGACCATGCCGACCTCGCAGCATCCGGTGCTGAGAGAGGCAACAAATCGTGTGCCGGGCACCGCCCGGTGTGCGTGTCAAATGGATTACCCAGTTGTGGTGTTGCACAAATTGCATGATGCCATCTGGAACTTAGTACTCAAGCTAGCAATCAACGCGGATATTTGGCTGCCTACTCATGTTGAACAACAGACAAGCACACAGTCTTACTCCATCCCCTCAAATAGAAGATCATAGAAGGTGCGGAGCCTTCAAGAGGCGTCTCAAGGCGACAATGAGATAGAGCGCATTTGCACGCAGCACACATGCACATAGCAGAGCTGGGCAGTTGTTTACAACCTCCCTTGGACTTGGCAACAGACAAGGGTAGAAAGAAGTACACGTTTGCCTCATCGCACACCTCGTTAGATACCCAACACGTGCCTGTGTCCACCGACACATGGTTCTCCATACCTTCTCCTCTGAGATCTTGCGTATGTTGCCTTGTGCCTTGCTTTTGCTTATGCATGGTCAAGCCACAGTCCGGTGGCGACTCTGAACACGGACCCGGCAAAAGATGATGCTTAGAGGATTCTAGAGACATCTCCTGGGGTACTTGTTTGGTTCCTCTCGTGGGATGTGGCTTCGCGCCTTAGAGACAAAGCCACAAGCTGCCTCGGTCGAACCAGATGTTTATACTGGTTTGTGTGGCCTACAAGCATTGTCTAGCCTACGCAACGAGACAAACAGATTGCATTTACATGTGGAATACCCAGTAAAACATCTATATACAGAGGTGCGGAAGAGAAACGTGTTGGTTTTGAAACACATGCCTGCATATATACATCTTGCAGGAGGCAAATATTCTATACGTTGGATTTGCTCGATGGATTGGCGCAAGGATCGTTTTGGCAGAAGCTGTGTCCTCAATCCCGGCTGGTGCACAAGTGGGTCAAGAACCTCGTGGCCTCCACGCACTTTGAGGTCTTCTTTGGCATCGTCCTGGTGATAAATTCCTTGCGCCTCGAACGAGCTGAGTTTGATTGAGAAGCTAGCCGCTAGATCCGGTAGCACGGAAGCGGAAGAGGGAAAGGCCCTTTTTGTTTCTCCGCTTCCGGAGACAAGGGACAGGCACACAGGAAGAAAAAGGCAAGCCTGAGACTAAAGATGCGGGCCAGTCATTACATGTCTACTGGAATTCGAATCTTGCACTTCAGTTTTCCGAAGCCGATCACTCAAATATGGTGTGTTCCAGGTGGATGCTTCGAGGTCTTCTTCTTTTCTTTTGGTATCCACGCGTTTTGGGGCAAGTGAGGCGAATGCTTGACCAGCTAGTTTCATCAAAGAGTTTCTTCAGCCCTCCTTCACTGTTTGGATTCCTTTGAGCGGCGGTTTTAAGGGAAGCCTCTTATCACGCAAGGCACGTGCTAGGGCTAGCCGACCTGGAGTTCTGATATGGGGGGTGATCAAAAGGTCCGTGATACATGGGATGACCATTGATGAAAACCACTAAAAGATGATATTTCCCACTAAATTGGAAAAAGTTGCCCCTGGTCATTTGGGGCCGAATGGAATATAGATCAACCCCATACTTCGGACCCAAGGGACAGGTTTGTACCTCGCGCTAGGTATGTTGGGGCGCAGCTTCAGTGGATGACCACCAGCGGCTCTTCCGAGATGCACCCGGGGTTCATCACGACGTCGCTGGGACCAAAGTGGCGATCGAACATCGCCCTTCAGTTGGCCTTTCGGGATCTAAGAATCACTGACTCGGGTCGTCCTTTTTTAAGGAACCCCTCCAACATGATGGTGTTCCTTTTGGTTCCCATTTAACCTCCCTCCCCCAAGAAAGAAATTGGGGCCAATTCCCTCACATTTCTTCAGTTTAGCACCCCGCCAAATCGAGTACCAAGCTCCCAATCTGCGCCTGCCCAGCTGCTCCTTCCTCCCAACTTAACAGCGCTTGACACCCAAGTCCAAAGGGGAAATCAACACTGCAAGCTGAGGGGAGCACATTTGCGTTACGGATATCTTATCCCCACCCCCCAGTTCCAGGTCATGGCAATTCGACAACTCCGGTTGTTGGGGTCATGGTCTTTTCGTGGCCTTGCCAAACCTTCAAGGAATTGCTGGACCCGGCAAGAAACTAGAAAAGGAGAGATGAAGAAGATCCGTGCGGTCAATGGCATTTCATGTTGCTTTTGGTGGAGCCGTTTGGTGGGGTTCGCCGGCTACCCCCCAAACAGGCCCGGTGGGCCGCCAACCCGCGTGGGACCCCCCGCCTAAGCCACACGAGCCGTCGAACCGGTTTGCGGGGCTGCGAACCGCCCAACCCCCCAGCCGGTTCGCCAGATTTGACCTATTTCTCATCAAGGAGCCCTTGTGGTGTGAGTCTTTTTGTTCAATCTATTTCTTCCTTCTGGGTGAATTATAACGACCTCACACGACCTCACCCCAAATGGTGGTTTATGTGGGGAATATCCCTCCAACACCTTATTTCAGGCTGGCGAAGTATACAATTCGCCCAGTTCCTTGCAAACCCGCGATTTGCTGCCTTTGCAGTTGAGAAGCTCATTCGGAAGGTTGCTCCGTGTTTGGTTGTCGACAACCTAAACGATATGTTGGTAGCTTCCGGTGTAAAGCGCCCATTCTCGCTTGCGATGTCGGTTCCTGTGTTTTGGCTGAGCCCGTTTCAGTGAGAGAGAGGGAGAGGAGGTTCAGTAGTAAATCATTTTTTCACAAAGGTGTCCAACTCACCCTGAGCCACCTTGAATAGGCTGGAGATTATCAAAGGCTACAGAAGTCATTGGCTATGCATTAGGTACCAGGCTTGGAAGCACATGTATTCGATGCGTTCGGCCCCTCCCGCCCCCCCCCCCCCCGTAATTTACATAGAACTAGACAATATCCCCCACCCAACGCCAAGGTTCTGTATTTGTGGGCCGGGGTCCGTTGCCATAATACGCCTTAGTGTCTGCCGCGCTTGTCAGCAACCAGCGGTGGCCCCACCAGTGCCTCAACCCCTGTGTCACGTTGGCACTTTCACCCACCAATGCTTGCACTATCACCCCGGAAATTCTGACCATAGCGATGAACACACGATGCATCGACTTAGTGGGAACTCATTGAAATTGAATTTATATATTCAGGGAGGAAGCCAACGGGTCAGGGAACGAGCCCAACGAAACGAAAAAAGAAGCAACGCAGCACACACACACACACACACATCATGCCTCAAAAGAGTCCAGCAAAAACGATTGCACTATGGTACAAAAACGGTTTTGGACGACCACTTGAGGGAGCCATGACCGCGGCCCACAGCAAGTGTTTTGACCACGGGCGCAATGGCAAGGCTTATTTTATGTGTTGTTGGCCTCTACTTGTTTCTCTACTGAGGCACATTGCCTTTGCATCGCTCTTCACCATCGAGTGTGCCCTTCAGATCTTTGCTTTTGGTTTGAGGCTGGCAGAAAGTTGAGTAAAGTGGGCTATAGGGAGTAACAATCAGTTAACTCACGGACCCCCAATTGTGGCCACAATTCCCTGGTAAATCCTCAAATGGGCGGTTTTGTTGGATGGATGAAAGCCCGCATCTGCTCGGCGACATTTTTACATGTCGAGTTGGCGTTTAACTGACAGGGCCACAACCACGTAGGCGTGCAAATTTTGCGGAGGCTCGTTTTTCGAAGCTTCACATGGGCAGTCACGTAGGCAGTCGTTTATGAGCTTGAACTGTCACGTGCCATGTTGAGCGTTGTTGTCGTGCGAGACATAGTCGCGTGACCGTTTGTGAGTGGCAGTGTGGTGCAAGCTGTGGGTAGCAGCTTTCCGCCAGCTGTTTGCAACATGGCATCGCAAGCTGGGCTGGCGGCGGGAGGAGAAGGTTCGCTTGTCCGGCGGTGCAGCGAGTAACTCGTACTGCGGCGCGGCTGCTAGTAGGCCCGTTGCGCGAGCAGCCCCGGTGTGCTCGTGGGTGAAAGCATATCCTGAAGTTGAACAGGAGCCAGGCAGGTTTTCCGTAGGCGCCGCGTAGGTTCTGCGTAGGCTTCACGTAGGCATTTCGCCCACGATCTGACCGGAGGCCCTTCGTGGCCCGCCTTTCTAGGCGCACCTCCGTTTCACCCCGTTCCTCCAGTATGGCCGCCAGGGAGGCAAAAACTTGGTCAGACGACACTGCAACCTCCTGCGGCCAACTTCGATGTCGTCTGCTCCGTGGGCTTCTACCGTGCAAGCGCAATCGCAACGGGCCTCTCCGCAATCAAGTTGAAGAAATGCGTCGAGCGCCTCGTTGTCGCATAAGCCGCGTAGGTCGGCATCTAGTCAGCTGGGTCTCGCACGTTTTTGTGGGACCGTTGCGTTGCTAACTCCCCGTACAGCAAGAGTATGCTAGCTGATGGTTATACACTCGCTTAACTGCACTTGTCAGTCCTGTCGCAATTATCATACCAAAATGTTCAGCCTGCGGCGTTGTAGTGAAGTGGAAGGGAGAAAGCAAGGCATGTTCTTGCTCTTGCTTCTGGAGCTCTTGTGAAGGCTGCTACTGTGAAGAAAGCTTGCAATTCCAAGATCATGTGATATGATGCAGCTCTGCTGGCACTTAAGAGGGGCTGCTCTATTCCAGAGCATCATCGCAACCTCAGGTTCAGGCCATGTTGCTTGGGTTCCTGGTCTCAGTTGTCCAACGTGGATTTTGGTTTGCTAAGTTTGCCCTGTGTTTGGTTTTGGGTTCAAAGAGCTTGATACCTTCTCTTTTTTTGTTTGCAACTGTGTTGCCGTGAAATACCTGCAAAACGCGACCCGCAGGGCGCCTGTCCACCATGCCTTGCAGTTGCTTTGCTACCACTTCACTTTTCCTTCTCGGAAGGTAGTGATAAGTGAAGCAAACACACAACTTGGCAAAATGTGTGATAGTTATTTGGGCTTCCCTACGCTCCTCTTGGAGTACTATATGCTCTGCCTTTGCGCAGCTTCGATGGAGCCAAACACATGGAGATGCCCAGAGACAACAAGCTTTACGATTGAGGCCAGCAGATAGCTCAGAGCGAACACATTATGACCCCCCCACTATGCAAGGTGGTTGTGGGTCAATAATAGGTATCCCAAATGGAGCCCTGGTAAATGGAAATATGGACCAAAACCTGCGGGTCCCCTGGTGGTTTAATTTTGACCCATACCCAGGTATTCGTTGGAGTGCGTTGGGGCTCTGTGGTCCTTTTCCTCTTGCTTGATCCTTGTTTGCGCTCGCATGTGAAGCTACTGACAGCGCGCGGGGTGCCCTGGGTATGGGTCAAAATTACACCACCAGGGGGCCCGCAGGTTTTAGTCCATATTTCCATTTGCCAGGGTTCCATTTGGGGTACTTATTTTTGACTCACAACCACCTGACCAAAATCCGTACGAGAAGATGGCCTAATATAAGCCCTGGGCATGCGTGCAAGACACCTAATCACTTTCCGATTCAATTTCCGGCTACGCTTGCGCGGCAGACTCACTTGTAAGTGCAGACTAGCAACCAAATGAGCCTTACATGCTGACCTGTGCGGAACAGCAGCAAAGGTTTGCGAGTCGATAGGTGTCACGCCCATCAGGAGTTTTTTGACGGGTCCAAGTTGGGCTTGGAACTGGCTCGACATCCTCGTGGTGATCTCGTCCTGGATTGAACTGCCGCTTGGAGAATTTCTGCCTTTCGTCAGGCTCACTTTGTGATATGTCATATGGGATGTTTGGCCGCGTATGTTTGGTGGTGCAGAAGGGATGCGGGGGTTTTAAGAACCCTTGGTGTTGTTTGTCGTCTGCTTCTGATGAGGGGAAGCCCTGCAGCTTTGGCACTTGCCTGCGTAGTTTGTGCATGGACGCTTGCATAGACGCCCGAAGAAGGCCATCATTCTGTCACCCGCCCCAACTACACAATTTTGAGTTTGTTTGTGGCGGCATTGTGGAAGTCGGTTTGGGCACGTCACGGTATAGTTGCCTCCTGAGTCCGAGTTAGCTTGCGCTGGTAAAGTTAGACCAGTGTTTCAAACTGGGCACGATACGGCCATGGGGCATAGCCTATGGCTCCATTTTGGGGTGGATGAACATCCATCTGCCACTTATTTTGATGTTCACCAGGGCTTTCCTGGGTTTTGACACCCACAGCCATACTGCTTCCCCCCTCAACGGGGAGCTTACTTTGGCTTACCTTCCTCGTGTCCCAGGATCCTGGACTTGCAGAACTACAGCAGCACCGGCTCCAATACAGGACAGGCTTGCTTTGGTTTCCTGCTCCCTGAGTTCCTTTGCTTCCTTTGGTGTCCTTTGGCTCCTTTGGTTTCATTTGGTTTCCTTTGGATGAACAACATGAATTTGAACAATAATATTCCTAAGAAAGAAAGTAAACATAAGAAATCAAGTGACAGTAATATAACGGGTTGTGTATTATTGTTGTATTATTTTTTTACAAGTGTTATTCTTCTAAGAATAAGAAGACTGATATATGTATATATATATAATATTATTTAGATCAAACCGAAAGAGATACGGTAGGTCTCAAAATACACTACAATGAATAAAATGGTAATTAGTACTACACATGACTACACTGAACTTAACCAATACCATAGACATGGAACACATAATTATAAAGGCGTGGGGGCGCATTGTAATTTTGCTCTGTGGGAATGATAGATCCTTTTTGTAGACGACTTAATTGAATCCAGGTATTGTAAGTGCTGAGAGTATCCTTTGTGGTACGATCCACCGAGATTATTCCTGTGTTTCTGGGTCTGCCATCACTTTGCTTTCAATCACTTTAACAGCTTCAACCAAAGACAAACGACATTACAATCTTATATTAAATCCTGCATTGGCGCTGTTTCCAGTTGAGGACTAATTCATTTCAGCAGTGTACTCCTCATCGTATCATTCCTAGCGAGCCCTTTCCTCACTATTTGGTGGTTCCTTTGGCTTCTTTTAGTTTCCGTGGTTCCTTTGGTTTCTTTTGGTTTCCTCTGGTTTCTTTTGGTTTCCTTTGGTTGCCTTTGGTTTCCTTTTGTTTCCTTTTGTTTCCTTTGGTTTCTTTTGGTGTCCTTTGGTTTTAAAAGTGGTGTCCTTTGGTGTCCTTTGGTTTCCTTTGGTTTCCTGTGGTTTCCTGTGGTTTCCTGTGGTTTCCTGTGCTTTCCTGTGCTTTCCTGTGCTTTCCTGTGCTTTCCTGTCGTTTTCGTTGGTTCGTTTCGTTACTTAGTTTTCCTTGGTGAACTTGATTTATTGTGGTTTCGCTGAGTTTCTTTGCTTGCTTTCGGTTTCCTTCGGTTCATTGGGTTCCTTTGGCGTCCTTTGGCGTCCTTTGGCGTCCTTTGGTTTCCTTTGGTTTCCTTTGGTTTCCTTTTGTTCTTTTGAGTCCTTCGGTTCCATGCTTCCTTTGGTTTTCGTCTTGGGATTCTTTGGTAAACCTTTGGTTCTTTTTTCTGGGTGGTCTGGTTGCCTTTGGTAACCCCCGGCCCCCCATCCGCCGATCCGATCGCAGGAGTCCGCATCGTCAAGGTCTTCAAGTTCACCCGGATCCTGCAGGGCCTGCGGTCCTTGCGCATCGTGCGCTATATCAGCGGCCTCCGGATTCTGGTGTACTCTATGTTGGATGCTGTGTCCATGTGAAGGTACATTTTTAGCCGTGTCTGTCTTTGGTTTAATGATGATGTGGTTGAAACATATTATACGTTCCCAAGCTTTGTGAAATTGAATCTTGACCAAGGATGCCACCAAATCCCTGGCCTGGGCATTGCTACTGCTGGCGCTGATCGTGTATGTCTTCGGAGTGGTCTTTGCGAACGCCGCGCTGGATTATATGGTGGAGAGCACCAGCGTAAACCTCGTGGCTTGGTGGCCCCCAGCCGTCCCCTGAGCTTTTTAGATCCTTTTAGTGTTTTTTTGTGGTGGTTTCCATTTGACCCACTAAAAGTTAGAAACTTTTAGCGGGGGATCTGAGGGCGGCCCAGGTGGGACGTCACTGGGGCTCCGTTGATGTATCCATCACAACCTTGTACAGGGCCGTTCTTGGCGGCCTAGATTGGGGCGAAGCAGCTGATGCGCTGGCCCCGCTGGGGATAGTGTGGGTCCATGTCTTTCATTTTTATGTTGGTTTCGTAAGTTTTGCGATTCTCAACGTGATGACTCTTATCTGAACTTGGCAAGAGCCTTTGGCCATGCTTTGTGGTGTCATCTCCTGCTGACGCGGACCAAATCAGCGCCAAACTTGTTCAAGTGAGCTTGCGTGGGACCAGGACCGGCGTGTTCTGCAACAGCGCCATCCGCGCGGCGGAGCACGACCATGACATCATGATGCAAAACAGGGTTCCTTTGGTGCATTTTGCCAAGGAATGTTAGGACTTTAACTTTTTGCCAGCTGATGGGTCTTCCGTATTAAACCACTAAAAGTTATAAACTTTCTCTGCAGGGGAGCAGATTTCGCAACGGAGGTTCGTTTCAGGGACATGGCTTCGGACCTCTTCAAGAAAATGGACAGCGGCTATGGGCAGATCACCATCTCGGAGTTTGAGAAGCTCTACGACGACGAGGACATGCAAGCCTTCTTGGACTCCATTGAGATCAGCGCAACTGATGCGTGGACGCTGTTCGCCAGCCTGGACGTAGATGCTTGCTCTTAAGAGGCTCCGTGATTACCCATTGTCCGTTGTTGCCGCATTTCTTTGTACATGACGGTGTATGTTGTGTGGGTGTGTGTGTGTGTGTTTTACCGTATCCAATGTATTGTGGAACTCCCACTCTAAAACCACCTTACGCCAATCCTAAACCCACCTAAACCCACCTAAACCCACCCAACCCTAAACCAACCCCAAACCCACACAAAACAAGCGCTAAACCATCCCTAAACCACCTTAAACCACCCTAAACCACCCTAAACCAATCCTAAACCAATCCTAAACCAACCCTAAACCCAGCCTAAACCCTAAGCAACACTAACCCGCCCTAAACCAAACCTAAACAAACCCAACGCAAAACCTGCACCATCCGTAACCCCCAGCCAACCAAACCAGCACCAAACCATCTCTAAGCACCCCAACCTACCCTAAGCCACCCTGAGCCCACCCTAAACCCAACCACAGCCTAAGCTACTCTAACCCACTCTAAGCCGGCATTAAACCCACCCGAAGCCAACCTTAAACCAGCACTAAACCATCCGTCAACCCAAAGTGCATAGCCAAACCAACCAAGCCTATACCCACCTACACAAATCCAAAACCCACCGAAACAAAGCCGAAGCCAACCCTACACCCACCCTGAACAAACCCCTCAAGAACTCCAAGCCTGCCCAATCTAGCCTCAAATAAGCCCTAAACCCAATCTTGAACCCACCCTAAAGCCAGATGTCGAAAAAGCGATGCCAGGGATGGGAAAACGATGCCAGGGATGTTGGCAGCGCTGGTGCCGGGCGAGTGCATGTTTGCAGCATGCAGCACGTTAGCACCTGGAAGCGAAAACAAAAAACCTGGAGAACAACCGAATGACATTTGGGCAATCCGACCTTTTGACCTTTTCATGTTCCCATGTTGGTCCATGTGTAGTACAGGTGCCAAAAGGTGAACCCTTGTATTTCTGGGTCCCTTGCACAAGTGAGAAAGACAAACCCCAAAAAGGCCATGGGTCAAAATCCCGGTTAGCCCCAGTGAACATCCCAATCCCCCGTACAATGGACTAAAATGGGTGGTGAATTCACCCACCCCAAAATGGGATCCCATTGGTTTTGACCCACTGCCATATGTTTCAACCAACATCATCTAAAAGAAGACAGACACGGTGTCATTTACCTTCACATGGACACAGCATCCAACATAGAGCTTTCACCGCCATTTGAGTCCGCGGCCGTGGGGGAAAAATGCGCCATATGAATGGTAATTGGAACCCAAGTTGGACATGTTTTAAGGTAAACAATGTGGTTGTTGTTTTTTCAAAAAATGTATGGACCGTGTTTTTCTCTTCTCTTTTTTGTATGGCCCCAACCATTGGGGAAAAAGATGCGGCTCAGGACGGAGATCAGACGGTGAGCGTGGAGGAGTTCACCGAGGGTTGCCTGAAGCTCCACGGCCCGGCTAGGTCGGTGGATCTCTACTCCTTGCGCCAGCAGAAGCCTGGCGCGCCTTTTTCGTGCCGAGCTCGTGGGCTCTTTCTCTTTTTTTTTCTGGGTGATTTTCCTGGGTGGTTTTTCTGGGTGGTTTGTCTGGGTGAGTTTTTCGGGGTGAGTTTTTCGGGGTGATTGTTGAATGATAGTTTCTGGGAGTTATGAAAGTGAGATGTGTTCCGGGATTTGGGGGTTGATCAAAAAGTCCGTGATACATGGGATGCCCATTGGGGAAAACTATTGAAAAGATGATACTTCCCACTAAATGGGAAAAGTTACCCATGGTCGATTGGGGCAGAATGGAATATTGATCAACCCCCAGATATGAAAGTGATAAACTGGGCTCGTTTCCCTAGCTACTACTTAGTGACTGTAAAACAGCAACATCGTTCCAGTTGCCGTTGCACTCCGTCGCTTCGAGGCGATCGGTTCGTTCCTTTGCCTTTTTGCCGCAGTCTTATTTTCCCCTGCTTGCTTAAAATACGTCCATTTGCTTAAGAACATGTTTCCCCCTGTTGGTTTTAAGGGGAATCTATCACTCCTGGAAATATGTGTGTGTGTGTGTTTTTTCCCCAGGAGGCTCAAGTCTTAGCTGCGGCTCCACCCAGTTGCAACCCTGTGGATTTCCGCTTCCTTTGTTCGATGTAGTTTTGGGATTTGGAGTCCGATTCCTTTGACCTCAGCCAACCCAACAAAAAAGATGCAAATGCTTTTGTGCGCAAAAAAATCACTGGGCATCTGAGTTCTTTACAGCTTGAAAATCAAGGTGTAGAAATCCTCTTGAAGGAGCTCCCTGCGAAAAGGGTTCGGTAAGGCAAACTTTCCACTTTCAAGCCATTCCCTTTTCTCAAATGAGTGGGTTCCAATCTGCTTTGCTCCGCTTGTGGGGTTGGTTGGTTGGTTTCATCGTGTTTTTGTCTTTGGACGAGAAGAGGGTGCACCATCTTTGGACTGAGGAATCTGAAGATCAAGGACAGGGTTCAACGCCTCCAAGGGCTCTGCTTGGAAATTGTAGGGAGAGTCATGGACCCATTTGGGGGATTTAGACAATGACAAGGAGCCTAAGTAATGGAACTATGACTATTACCTACAGACTTGGAGTTTTGACCATGGCACATGTGACTTGGCCGCGTGGAACGAGTGTGGAGGTCATTTGATGAAGGGTTCCTTTCTGCTCCGATTTGTGAGGGGCTATACTCATGAACCCAAGCTCGATGGGCCCTGTGCACTGATTCGGACAGTCACTAATGAAAGGATGTTCACATGCGCAGCTGATCTCAAGAGTTCTTTGACGAAATCCAGGTGATCCAGGATGTCCCTTAGCATCTGAAGCTAAAGGGGTCCGCAAATCAGTACAAGTAACAGAAGCCGGAGACCAAAGAGTTTGGCACCCATGTTCAAAGGAAAGGCCCCCGCTGCCATTCAGATCCGTGCATTCCTTGGCGTTTGCTTCCGCCGGGTTGACAACCTCTGATTTTCCATGGAACTTGCCCCGATTTGCCCCGGGCCGCCTGAAACCCATTGGCTCCGACCCCACCGAGGAAATGTAAGGTGGGTGTATGAAAGACCTTCCCAGGATGTCATTGTGGTGTGTCTTTGTTGGAAGCCCTTGTTGGATGATAAGGGAAACCAACAGAAAAACCCGTGCCATCTTTGGGGTGCGCCCGTTGTCAGACCAATGTCAATGTCAGGAGCAGATGCACAGCCTGATGCAAGGTCAGAAGAAGATCATGGAGTTCCTGAACGCCCTGAACCATTCACAATTCAACCGCTTTGCTGTCTAGCAGCCTAGCGCCGGGTTGCACAGACATGATTATCCCAAGATCAAGATCACGACTTGATTTGGTTGTAAGGCACCGATTGATGCGTGACCATGAATTCGAACTGAGTGTTTGTTTCTCATGAATCACGCATGCAAGTGCGTGTACATGTATACATACGAGCATGCTTTGCATAAGGACTGGTACTATTTTGTAGTATGTGGTGCAACACCATGGAATGATACTGTGCTTGAACACTTCAGTGGACAGAAACACATGCAGTGTAGTCTGACGGAGGTCAGTGGACGCATACGCGCATGCTTATGTAATGTTTGCTATGCATGCTGTACAAAGCAGGCAAACCGGTGTTGTAGGAGGATCTCTTGTGTATCAGGTGTTATATATAGCCATGAACATATTAATATATAGGTTTTAATAAGCGTCCTTTAATCAGGGTGTGATAGAACTGTTGCTAGGAGCCTAGTAGGGAGCATGCTGTGACTGGCAATGCTTCGCTGCGCTCTGAGAGTATTGGATTATCACTGTCTTGCAATAGCGAGATGTCCCAATCTTTGGGACTGAATGCCCGCGCCTTTACGCTGTTGGGAGACGACCAGGTTTTTTGCTGATGTTGCACAGCTTGACGCATGAAATGCGTTGAGCGCCCTGGAGCCCTCTTCAGTTCATGCAAGCAGGGAGCAACAAGACGCATTGTGTTGGACACATGCCTACAGATACCTTGTGAGTGTTAAATGTTGTTTGGGGTTTAACGGCATGTGGTCCTTTTGGTGCTGACAAGGGAGGCCTCAAGGGCAAGGTTCAGCACAAAGTGTCTCAGAGCTCTCAAGATGCAACACGTGTTCGAGACGTGTTGCCCATTAGTGTAGTACGTAGTCATACAAATTTGCCCATTACAACATTGTGTATCAATATGTCACTGCCATGTGTGCATTCATTCATGACACAGCCGCACTTGTCAGTGAACAACTATTTGGTTAGCTTTAAGCAAATGCGTGTTTGGGAAGGCAAAAGGGACAAACATTGGTGTGTTGCCGTCTATCGTTGCCTTTGCCGGAAATGGAGCCTATGAGAAGAAGCAAGCTCGATGGATTGATCATCAAATCATCTTTGATCTATTCGCTTTGTGCTCTGACTCTGTTAAAACATGTACACGCCACAGCCCTGAAAGAAATTCGTGGGGAGTGTCCAAAACATCCCTTGGACAACGCCCGCGTAGCACATATGCCGGGGATTGTTCAGGCTTTTCACTGCACGGGCATGGTTTTCGGGATGTTGGGCCTTTATACAAAAAGGTCCAGACCGACAACTTGCGCAGCTCCATTTTGATCACCTGTTTCGGACCAGCATGCGATGTTTGGGAAGCCCCGAATTTCGTAAAAGGGCGTCATGGGGTCTCAGCAGGGGGCAACAGTAGCTCATGATAGCCATGCGGCAAGCGTGTAAAGGTTTTATCGCGAGCGGCAGCTGCACTGGCAAAGCCAACAAGCATGCCTCCGTGAGGCAAACGACCGAGCAAACGCGTTGGAAAATGGCGGCTGTGGCCTGCGGCCGACAGTTGTTGGTTTGTTTACAATGGAGCTAGCACAAATTATTTAGAGGGGACTGCTACTTTGAGAGTAGTGGACTGTGAGACTTGCCCATGACTCAGGTGGCACACCTGGGACAGCTGACAAACAAAGCCTACATTGCTTTCTGCGTAGGAATTGGGTTCTTTTTGACTTAGCAAACCAACGACACGGTCATGATATTTTGCTTGGACTGTGTTTTGTTGACATGTACACGAACTACGTGCGTGTGTTTGTGTGTGTGTTGCTGTTTGTGTTCCATTCCCCAACGAGTGGCACGCAACATATCGATGTGCTGTTCTGTTGAGTGCTTACACTGCTTACACATGAAGTTGTGTTCTTCCCAGCTTGTCCTTGCTTGGTGGGATTGGTGTTTGCACGTAGTGATCTGTTCAAAAGCAGTTGTTTGGAGTGTTAAAGCCCTTTTTGCAGCTTGAGCCAAAGTTCGCTTCGAAGATAGCATGGATTCCATCAGAAGTCAAAGCCGGTGGCTGCTTACTCATTCGCCTGGCGCCTCCAGGCGTGCGGACGGGAGGGTAAGCTTTCAGCAGTTCAGCACGGAGCTGCGACCAGTCAACTGCCATGATCCCCAGAGCTTGTCACGAGATCGGTGACTCATGGAAGCTCGCTAGCACCGGTGTAGCTGGGAAGTGCATTTCCACAAACTCAGTGCGCAGGATCTCTTTCCGAGTGGGCATTCGTCTTGCAACAGCCGCATTGTGCCGGGGATAGCTTGTCAGGTGCCAACATGTACATTGGCTGGGTGCCTCTCTTGAAGCTAGTGGCAGGGCCGGCCACCATCTAATGCATCAGGCTAGCATGGAAAGTCGCGTCTGCCGATTTTATGGCAAGTTCATTTAATGACCACCTTTCGTTTGTGCTTGCTTTTCAGGTTGGGAACTAGACGTTCTGCTGATACTTGCCGCCGTCCAGTTCTTTTGCTCGCAGAACCGTAGGACATCCCAGGAGAATCTGCAGAGAGACAATCGGCATGTTGGGCACCTACTCCAGTCGAACGCGGGCCCGCCTGCTCACACTTGTTGCCGTTGCAATGCGTCAAGGCTGGCTTACCAGAGTTGCAAAAGAACAACCTGCACTTTCAACACAGTGCAAACAAACAATGGCGCTGGTGATCTTCTACGTACATGTCCATCAAACCCAATCACTCGGCAGCAAGTGATCATGGATAAGGCGTCAGTAGCTATGGACAAGGCAACGGTGATCAATATGATGGATGAAGCACCACGGCTGCATGTGCTTATTGCCACTGTCGCAATTGATGGTACGGTACTCTATGCGAAGCAAATGCGGTTTGAGAGGAATCATCACGTGCACTTGGAATTGTACAGTGGTCATGGCAAAACAGCCCGTTTGTCATGGAACTGAGGCTGAATTTTGGTACAGATTACCAGTAGCCATGCCCTTGGGCCACGTCTTGTTTTTCTCGCTTCTTGCGGGACTTTGGCATCTTTGAATCGCTTGGAATCGGATGGCCTGTTTTTCATTTCTGAAGGAGAGAGAAACAGTGTGTTTCACCAAGCAGGATGTTTGGAAGTGCACAGTCTCTAAGCTCTAAGGGCAGTGTTCGGAAATTGTTTTGTTTTGCACTTCCGTGTTTGTGTGGGGAACCGTTGGCTTCAAGCAGTCTCGCCATGTGGTTGTCAACACTCTGAATGTATTGGGGAAGTCACACACCAGCCATCAAGCCTGGGTTGCTGCTCTTTTTGTTCCTTTTGGTGCCCGTATGACGACTTGCTTTAGTTAGGGGGGTGAGTGAAGTGGTCCTGCCATTGCAAAGTTTAGGTTCTCCGGAAACATGATGTCCAGATCATGGGCCAGTTGGATTCCTGGCTACTGCACTTGGACGGCCTTTTGCAGAACAACTTGTCGACGGATGCCAGGCCGCACTCGGCGCATGCACTTGAATGCGACCGCTTCATGCGATGTGCTTCGAGAAAGCATGCAAATGGTCCTTAGGGCATGTATTGCACTGCAGGCCCTAGAAAAAAGCACAATCCGTGACATCAGAATTGCCAGAACAAAGGCATCACATTCGACAGACATCGTAGGCTCCAGACGTCTGAGGATCCTGTTACGGCTCTCGAGGCAACCCGTGCCAGGATTGCGCTGTCCGAACTCCAACATGCTGTGTTGGTCTTGTGTGACAGTTTTGCGCACCCATTTCGATGTGGAGAAATCAGACTGACAAACCAAAGTTTCGGTCCGACATTCCAGCTTTGGGCAAGTTACGCTAAGTCGCTGTCAGTGAAGCAACTTTACCAAAGGCTTTCTATGCGCCGAAGTCAAAACGCTACAAATCTGTCATTGTTGAGCCAATCAGAATGAAATGATATCGGCGGATGCTGCAAATGTAATGACCATGTTCCAAGCAGTTGGGTGATTGTACGGAGATATTCCCTGCGTTTAGAATCATGTGTGTTTCTTGCTGGAGTATTGTATGCCGATGCAGGTGATTGTACAAGCACCGGCACTTGATGGATCAAAGAAGAGCGCTCACGACGACTGAAACGCCTCTTCTCTATGGACGACATTGCATTTGTTATAAAAGCCTGCACGGGCATGAGTCCTCTATGATACAGGTGTTAAACGTGTGCGTCAAGGAAGGAACATGGGCAACTCCTAGGCATGGAAGCTTCTCTTGTCACAGGGGTACGTGATGCGGATCCCTGCTCAAAGGAGCACGCTGATACGTCAAGGGTCATCCTGGGTGTTCACATGGATTGAATGTTGCGAGTCGGTTGACAGGTGTTCAGAACCTCACTCGGTGCCCACTGCTATTTCTATCAAGCGAATCAGAAAGGGAGTTGCATCTGTGTTCATTCTTTCGGCCCGTCGACTTGGTGTGGCCTGCAAGCCTCAAGCCGTCAACAAATCCACTAACACACGCTCCCTGATTGCATGTCTACTGCTGACTTTGTGTTGCACTCTTAAGTAAATACAACATGTATAGTACATATATATATATATATACAAAATACATTTATCTTACATCATCAGCTTGCAGTGCACAACAGTAAAGATTAGATATTAGTATACACATTGCGCATGTTCAATGTTAATAACATATTTGTAGGACTCGTCCACACCTGAACTCTGTGTGTGTGTGTCCACGATGAATGTCGTGGAATGTTCAGGACTTTGATCTCAGTAGTTGTATTTGCTATGTATAATATACATACATATATATATATATATAACTATGTATGTATCATGGCTATTGCTTCATGAAAGAACAAGCCATCAATGTCCATGACTTGGATATGGTTATGAGTTGTTTGTTGACTGAGCAGAAGTAGGACGCTGATATTGAAGACCCGACTTTTAAAAAATGAGGAAGCATGACCATTGCACATGCAACATACAAAGAACAAACTGGCAAAAGCAAACCCCAAACACACAGCCATGACTAGAAAAAGATCAAGCAAACACATGCAAGCTGCACGCGATCAAGACACCCACAAATGTAAAACAGCAACAGAACGCCAACAAAAGCAACAACGCCAACAAACACACTACTGCAACACTGAGAAACCTGCAAAAAGTCACCAAAGAAACAGTGGGAAAACCAACATAACTAAAAGACTCGAGACAAGCGAGAAGACCCAAAAGCCAAACACTGGAAAAGGATGCTGCATCAGTCCCAAAAATTGTTAGTTTTCCCGAGGATCCTCCGGTTGTTGTTTTAGGCTTCCAACATGCAAACAAATCCGTTGTTTTTTCTGGTTTTTCAGAAAGCCACATGTAGAAGAAAAAAAGCACCGAATTGGATTAGTTTGGAATCCCATGCCAGAAGAATAAAGAGATCTTGGAGAATCAGAGGAGAAACAAAACAGAGGTTGTTTGTTTGCATTTGTCCAAGGTTTGTTTGGGGATTGGCTAGTTGTCCCATTCTTTTTGTGTTTGTTTTGGTTTTCTCAGTCATGTGTTTTTGTTTGCTGTGTAGGCTGTATGTTCCGTTTTAAGTTTAGTTTCAAAGCAGAACTCTCGTAGCACCGGGACAAATTCGTTCAGCTTTCTTTGAGAATATAAATCTTGCGCGCATGAAAAGACTGGAGCATGGGAGAACTGGGGGATAGTAGTGTCCCAAAAGCGTGGCCCTGTCGTGAGTTCGGCTCTTCCGCAGCCGCCCGCACTGACAAAAAAAAGGGGAAGCCTTTGCTGGCTTTAGTGGGTCCGATCTTCTAAACTTCTAAGCTTGTGGTTCTCTGCATTTTTCATTTCGCTCGTGCAACCCTCTGCGGACTTTGGCGGGGTCGACGTCAACAATCGCGAGGCTTTTTGTGATTTTCACGTCGCTCGCGAGACCCTCTGCGGACTTTGAGGGGGGCAAACATCAAAACTTGTTGTTCTCATTTGTTACTTTCGTGAGAGAGGAAGAGAAAACAGAAGCAGAGAAAGAGCAAAAGAGAAGCTGAAGGATAAAGAGAAGATACCGACAATGAGAGAAAGAGAAAGAGAAAGAGAAACTGAGAGAGTCAGCAGAGAGACTCAGACAGGCAGAAAGAGATAAAGAAAGAAGCAAAGAAGTAAACAAAGAATGAATGAATGAATGAAAGAAAGAAAGAAAGAAAGAGAGAAAGACAGAGAGAGAGAGAGATACATAGAGCGAGAGAGAGATAGAGAGAAGGGGGACAAAAGCGCTCACCGAAGACTTTAATTGCTCCTTATATTCAACCCCCACCCCCACCCCCTGGGGTTATGCCGGAATTTACTCCTGGGCATGAAAAGCAAAGTTTGACATGGCCACATGTTTGGACATGTTTGTGACGCAGAAAAAGCTTACTTTGTTTTGCATGTGGTATTATCTTCGCGTGAAAACGCTGAAATGCTGATTCGCTCAGTATCGAATGTCGGCCAAGAGCAGAACCCGGCTGGCGACTCTTTGCACATCCATGACTCCCTGTCTTACACACCAGTTTGCAACTGAGAAAGAACACGACACCAGTGAGATCATTTCAGGAACAACATTCACAATATATATATATATAGATTAGTTTCAATCCCCCCCCCCAAAAAAAAAAAAAGCACCCCAAGATCCGCGCCTAAGGTGTTGTCCGACAGAAGGCTTAACACGGAACCTCAGCAGAACCCAGGATGGGGATACTCCAACGTATACAAGTCCTGCAAAGTCGCAAGTCTGGACGTGTACAACAACTTACCTGGAACAACAAAGTGTCATTGGTTATACCGTATGCATTTCGATATGGTTCATATAAAGTTAGATTTGCCAACAACCCGATAGCCCTGGTGAAATCCGAGTTATTCATGTGTTAAGCTTCCGTATTTACATAGTTACAATGGAAAGACTATGGAACTACATCCCTTTGTTGGCTTTGGCCCACCTGACTAAGTGGCCTGGCCTTGAAAGCGTGCTTTAGCCTTGCGAAATTACAGGCTAACCAGCAGCGGTCAAGTGAAGGCGTCTCTAAGCGAAGCCTTCAACGCAGAGTATGTCCCATGGCTGGGCTGCCAGAAAGAGTCGGCGCGGAGTGTAGTGGGCGAGGGCCATGAGCGCGTAGATAAATAAATTAATGTGTATATATATATATATATTTCGAGGCGGTGGTATGTAGTAGTGTGATGTTACTCGGACAATGTAAGGCCTAACCGCACCATCGAAGTTGGGCCGGATCAAATCCCGCTGGAAACCACGGCACGGCTCAAGCCGTCCCGTGGAGACAACAACAAGTCCGGCTATACATGTATATATATATATATATATATATACATACACGTGGTGTGTTCCCCTTTTAATGTCTATACTACGCACAGATGTACGGGCACTTACTGTTCCAGAGTTTCTCTTGGCACACATTCACATATACACTCATACAAAGTACACAATTACATACTTATGCGTATGCGCGTGGTTCCCCCGTCCAAACAAAGCCTGCCTGATACACATTTGGGCTGGCTGTGTTCCGTGATACTGTGCATGTATATGCATGCGAATACATGTATAGCATACCCGTATCAGTGCGATCTCACCCGGCTTCGCCAGGGACGCACCTGTTATGCATAATGGCAGCACGCCAGAGAGCAACAGCACGCTGGGCCTCGAGCGGCAGGCGGGGACTTGTGCGGGGTGGTTTCTTTTCCACCCACCACCCTCTCCCCTGTATGGACTAGCAGGTTATCACAAACATTGACCTCCGCCTGTTCATCATAGAGTGGAGGGGGCTGCTGTATGTGGCGAAACTGGGCGACTCTGTTCGCTTCAGTTTCTGATGCCGAAAAGAAGCAACCACTTGGGGCCGACTCCCGCTATGCATTGCTTCATATTTCAAGAGTCGTTCTGTTTACATCCCAGATGACGGAAACCCCTTCCGCGCGTCTCCGCTTGCACAGCCAGTTTGCCAGGGGCCTCTTAGGATCTTCACGGATCCCTTTGGCTCATCTTTCAGACACTCAGACCATGTGGGTGGTGGTTTGGGGGCTTTGGAAGGCATGTTGTTTGACTTTGACCACCCCGCCACTTATGCTTTTCCGCTGCGATGTGCTGTGTGAAGAAATACGGAACCGATGTGTGCAGAGAGAGATGACGCAAGCCAAGCTCTTCTGTTTTGCCCTTGGCCACTCTTGTAGTTCCCTACTTGCCTGGGCAAGTGACCGGCTCAAGGGATGCTGCCCTGCGCCAAAATAGCGAGGCGCTGCCGATCCCCGAGCAGACTGCATCCGCGAGGCTGAACGCGAGCCGGAGCATCAGCCGCCGGTGGTCCATGCAAAGCAGCTCGTGGAAGGGCGGAAACGAGGGAGACTCCTCCCCGAAGTTCCCAAAATCCGTCGATGTGTGGGGCTCATTTGGAGCCAGGTGTGGGGAACAGTTGAAATCACATGAGAATTGAAGGGATGGCTGAAAAGCTCTTTTGGAATGCGTCATGGGGGCTGGGTTCACCTATAAACCTTTGGGAGGTGTCCCTTAGTCTCCGCAAACGTGGAATCCATGCCGGACACCCGCCGAAACACCACGCAGAAAGGCAAAAAGGGCCAACCCTTGGAAAAGTCCTTCGGCTTTGCCCAAGGCTCAGGGCTCAGGACTGAAGCGTCACTCTGCTCATTGGATACCTTGCGGCTTGAGTGTTTTTGTAGTTGATCCCCAAGTTCAGTCGTCGAAGGGCTCTTTCCCTTCAGCTCCTTGGCTCGGCTGCGTTGGTTTTGATGCGAAGTTCAGCCAACGTAGGGCTCTTTCCCTTGGGCTCTGGATCCAAGGCTATGATGAAGCCATAGAGGAGGATCTGCGCAGGGCCGCGGAGTTGCATCGGACGGCCAGCTCTCTGAGCGTGCCGCCTGTCGGCTGATTCGGTTGAAGCTTCAATCAGGCACTATGGGAAGGACCAGGGTCAGCCCCCTACACTTCGCGTCATTCACTCGGGTTGTTGGCGTCCTTCGAGGAATGCTGTCTATACAAGTCAAAGCGAGCTCAGACGAGAGAAGTGTTGAGTGTTGCAAGAAGAAAAGCATAAAAACGGCCCTCAGCGACAAGGTCTATCTCAAGGAATCAAGCTTTTAAGGGCCACAGTACCAGTTGTGGCGAAGACTTCCAGGCAGCGGATTTTAGACTTAGCGAAGGATCATCAGAAAATTCGGGGGAGCGAGAAATGGATCGGCCTGGAAAGGATATCTCTGGCCACGGCGTGGGGCCGCGTCCGAGTTTCGTTTGGGCGGATGTCATGTACGGACCAAGCCATCAGACCGAATTGGGAACATGCCTTTCGGAAAGTGCCCTCAGTTTCGGGGCTTTCGGCGTCCGAACTCACGCTTCTCCAGTTTTGTATTTGTCTCCTTCGGACGAAGCATATGGAACGGGAACAGGAGCGAAATTGAAGAAGATGTGTGTTTGCCATTGATTGGATGGCAGCACTTGCTTCATTGTTTGCTGGCGAGGTGTTGCGTCCCAAACATGCCTTCTCATTACTCCGTGTTGAGACTCTATTAGGTGGAAAAACAAGCGTGCAGGTTGCTCAGCATTGCTCCCTTCTAGTTTAGTGCTGGCTTGATCTTTGGATGTGGCTCCCTTGCTGGAACGGCAGCATTGAGCTACTGAAGAGTGCTGCTAAATGTGTAACTTTGAGCTTCTGGTTTGACCTACTTTAGTATTGCTGAATTCTAGTTGAATGTTGGTGTTGTATTTGGATGCGGCCTGCCCGAAAACTGAGCCTTTGGCAGTCACAGCAGGAAAGCCCCCCCAAGTCCATTTTAAATTTAAGCACAGATTGTTTGGTAGTGGGGACCGTAACTCTGGTCGTGTTTGGGACATTGGCTAAACACTGATTTTCTGGGATCCCTTGCAGGGATTCATGGGCTTGCTTGCTGGGTAGTCGCTAGTAAGTGCCGCTAGGCCCCAGGGCAACCAAAGGATGCGCAGAAGTAAAAAGAAAGCAGCTGCCAAGGGGCGTGCAAGAAGTCTTGAGCTGTTCCTCCAGGCAACTATACTAGATGTGGCACTTTCTGCGAGGTTGAGTTTCTTCTCATGGGCCCAAACTGCTCAGACTGGTCTAGGGCAATGTTTAATTCTAGCTGAGCCGGCTCGAGTCTGTGTTTGGAGTCGGGCTTTCGTGTGTTTCGTGTTTTAATGAGATTCATCGGCATTGGTCTACAGAGATTGTGGCCTCCATTTCCCGCCAAGGCATTTACAACATGTCTCCGGCTTCACGTCAATTTGCATCTTCGCTTTCTGGGCTGCCGGGTTTTGCCGAGGCAGAGCGACGGGCCTTGGTTGTTGCAGGCCTGGCGCCGAATTCGCCATTGCGCCAACGCCGTGGTCTCCAAACCGGCCTTCGATATGCTCTTCCTTGCCCTGATCGTGACCAACTCCCTGTATCTAGGGGCTCAACTGGAGTGGGCCTCTTTTTTCAACGGGCAGGCAGACGAGGTAGCGCTCGGAATCAACCTGGGCTACACCGTGCTGTTTACCATGGAAACCTGTCTTACATGAGCTTGTCACAGCTTTGCTGTTGGTCTTGCTTGCTTGAGTTGGAGGCCGACAGCTTGAAATCGAAGTGACATTGGAAGTGGACTCGGAAAAACACGCCTGCGAATGTGTGTTTTGACCAAGATTGGGTGGCCACTCTATGTAATGTTGTCTTTGAGCCACCTAGTGCCGGAATACTGATACCTCACGATGTTGACTGTTCCGATTTGGACAGGGCGTGTCTCACATTCTCAGCAGTCGACTTGGATGCAGATATCCTGTGCAAATGAATTGAGTGCGAATGTAACTTGAATTTTGCCACCACCGTCCGCCACTACTACTGACACACTGCCACCCCGATCTCTACCACAATCATCGCCACCAAAACCACCGCCAAAGCCACAGCATGCTTTGCAGTAGATAAGTATTGTTTGAGTTGACTTCATCTTTAGACCCAGATCATGGGGGGGGGGCAAGCGGGGAATACTTCAGCCAAAGGAATTCCTCTTGCGGCTCCTCGCCAACGGGCCGCGACAGCTCTTCTGCAAGACCGGCTGGTTGTGGACCTGGCTGGATATCGCAGTGGTAGGCTCCTCTTGGGTCGAAATCGCCTTCGCATTTGCGTCAGGCTCCCAGGCGGGCTTCGGGAAGGGCGTCGTTTTCTGACGAAACCAACATGCGCATTTCGGTGTGCACGGCTTTTGAAGCTGAAACTTGATTCGCCCAAACCGTTGCGCCAGGAAAATGAAGCAAATAGCAACCTCCGCATCATCCGAATATTTCGCATTGGCAAGTTACTGCAGACGGTGCGCTCCTTTCGTGTTCTCAAGTTCCTCAGCGCCTTGCGAACCCTTGTGTTCTCCATCGTGGATGCAACAAGATCACTTTTCTGGGCGCTGTTTCTACTTCTTATCATTCTCTACATCTTCGGGATTCTTTTTACGGACGCGGTCCTGGATCACTTCAACTTCTCGCCCGCCGAGTCGGAGCTCCAGTTTTACTTCGGCTCCGTGTCAAGGACGGGGGATCGACCCGTGGCCGAAGCCCCTCCCATGCACGATGTTGGACTTGGTTTGTCAAGGGAAGCCTGGCCCCTTCTTTTGTGTTTTTCTTAAGCAATTGTTTAGGGTACCGTCTTTGCTGGCTTGAAAGGGAAGCCGAGAGGGAACAACGAAGCCATGTTGGGGAGAAAGCCCTATTTGGAGACATCCAGAGCGGCCGATTCAATGGAGGTCCATGACCACCTTGTTCCGTTCCATCTTGGGGGGCGTGGATTGGTACCAGCCTGCGGATGCCTTGGCAGCGGTGGGACCAGTTTGGACCCAGCTCTTCCAGTTCTACATCGGGCTGGCAACGCTGCTGGGCGATTAAATCCGCTTCCAGACGTCCAGCGGTGTTTTTTTTTTACATGTTCTCCCCTCTTTTTTTGGAGTCTTTTTTACTCGTCCACCACCGGGTGCCCTCTCTTATCCCATGGCCACTGAGGGGGGCTACAAAAGGAAAGGGTAATTCTCCAAGTGCTGCCGTTGCTGCCCTTTTGTCCAAAAACAGTGGCCCCTGAAGTTTTATTTGTGACTCCCATGTGCTCTGTTCACCAAATGAAATCGGGGCCTCTCTTCACAGATCCTGAAACGCCGGTTCCGTACGTTGCACACATTGAACAAACGGCTCCCCATGAAGTTCCCTTCCGAGCGCCGAGGTTTTTACTCTTGCCGTTTCGGGAAGGTTTGAGCACCCTTCGATCTGTTTGCGTTTCCGGAAGGTGTTGCTTTCTCTGGGCCGAGCCTCAGCTTTTTCATGCCTCAACTTGGGCTTATTCCTTAAGCTTATGAGCCGCAAACTCCGTTCCCTGTTGATGGGAACGCCCTTCGGAGTGGGAAAATGGCTCCATCCTTGTACGTGAATCCGAACAAAGCATTGCGATTGTGTACCGTGGCAAGGCTTGACCTGCTGCACTCAAAGATTGGCGGCATTGTGTTTGCTTCAAACTCGCGCCATGAAGACCACCCTAATTGAAACCTAATCCAAGGTGCCCATGACAGCTAGCCCGACCGCTATTCTGTGAATTGAATAGCAATATTGCTTGCAAGAGATACGGGCGAAACCCGAAAAACATGCAAGCCGCGAACACAAGCACCGCACGTTGCCTTGAATTCGAAGATTTGCGGCATTTGTTTTGGAGCGCAATACCTTTAACGCGGCTGAGGCTCACCATCCTGAACGTCATGAGACTTGGCACCTGAGATGGGCGAGGGGATTTCGGGACCCGGGACCCGCGCTTCTTTTGGCAGATTCTGCGAAGAACATGTGGGGGGGGATGTCTCACTCCCCAAGTGCATGGACCTTTTTGGACATTTTGTATCTTCCATGTTTAGCGGTAAATGAAAAGTTTGGACTTTTATTAGGCCATCCACTCAGGAATTGAGATGTTCTCTGGGGTTCTTTGGTACAGATCTCAAGGGCAAAGTATCACCCAGATGTTGGGTCAGTTGCAACGAGTTGTTGTGGCCAACTCGTGCATAAAGCTTCTTTTTGCGCGTGATATGTCTGCCAAGCGCACAGGAAATACCACAACTGGTAGTTGACACACTGTGCATGTGGCTGTTCAGTCAAGGTGTTGGTTACATGTTGGAAGCGCAGATGAGTGTTTGTGCTCGCCGGCAGCGTCGCACGGGAGGATCCACACCCGGAATGATCAATCCTCGTTTTGGTTTTGTCCTTAGGGACCACCCAGGTTGCTTATCCTGACACGCAGATGACTAGCTGAGGGGACAACATCTCTACCTGCTTGGTTGGTTGTGTTGCCAGTTTTGGGCTGGTTTCCATGGGTGACAGACATGCCCGGTGAGGTTGCCGGAAGTTGACCTTGGGTACACGACCTGGAACACGAAAGGAGCGCCCTGCTGAAACTGTTCCTGTTTCCTGCTGAAGCTTTTGTGACTAGGTTACTGTTAATGTGCCTAAGTTGTTCGGAGGAAAATTATACTACCAGTGTTTTTGTTGCAGCTCAACACGTTTCGTGGGAACTCCCTGCTTTCGCTATTATCGACGGCCCCACCCGCGAGCGCATTCAGGGGGAGTGGGTCGCAAAGTGCTATGAAGAGACGCAGAAATGGGCCTGCACCTAAAAGAAAGAAGGTAGAGCGGCCTGGAAAGTGAAGGTACACATATGGCTGTGGCTCAGAAGACCGGTACCCAAATGGAACCCTGGGAAGTGGAAACATGGACCAAAACCTGTGTAACCCCTCCTGTTTAATTTTGAGCCACACCCATATGGCCTGTCTCTTGAAGCTTTTCGAACGAAGGCAAGTAAGCGAGTGGCGCTGGACGGAATGAGCAGTTTTTGGGTGGGCCTCGGAAGACACTGCCACACAGCTCTGGGTCAAAGATCGGGTAACCCCAAAATGGAACCCTGGTAATGATACATGGACTAAAACCAGCGGTCCCTTTGGTGGTTTAATTTCGACCCATGCCCATATTGGTTGTGTTGATTTTCTGAGAACTGGCTCACATGCGAAACCGGGTCCGCGAGAGGTCGTTTCGGTGCGGAGGGCTGGCTGGTCCAGGCGCCAGGTGCAACTTATTGTGGTTGAGTGGGGAAATCCCCACTTAACTGCTAAAAAAACAATGTTTGCTTCCCTTCAAACGTCAGCCAAGTTGGTGGGTCTGTTCTCCGGGTGCTGGCTTGACTGGCCTTGGGCTGGTGCTGGCCCTTTGGCTTTGGGGCGTCAAGGGGCCTTGACGTCGAGCGCAGTCTGTTTGGGGGGCTGTTCTCCCACAAAGTGCTACATCCCTCCGGCGTTCTCTTCACATAATATGTATATATGTATACACACATATATTAGATATATAGATATATATTATATATATATGTATCTGATATTATAATACATATCATATATATATATATATATTCATCCCTCCCAGGACGGGGGTCTTCTGCAACAGCGCCCTCCGCGCCGCAGAGCTGAACCACGACGTGATGATGCAGAACCGATCCGTGCTCCGCGGCCAGGCGGCTGCGCTCTTCCGGAAGATGGACCGGCGCCTCGGTCGGAGAAGCCGCCTGAGACTGGGAAAGGCCGAGTGCTGGGAACCCCCAACCATCCAACCCGGTGTTCGTTTGCTTTTTGGTGGGGTGGGGAATACCAAAACGCTGCGTTCACACATTCCGTATGGCACCAGCAAGTTCTTGGGCCACTCAGATCTGGGGTCATGATTTTGACGGTTTCTGGGGGTTATCAAAGTCAGTAAATGGGATCGGTTGTTTCCCTTTAACCCACTTAGGGGGTGACTTTGATCATGGTAAAATAATGAGGCCAGAAGTTGGTCACCGGTTGCGTTGACGAAAGCTTGGCGTCCATCTCTGTTTATCCGTTGGTCTTGCATGGAATTCTAGATGGTTTGGCGCCGGACAGCAAGTGGTTGGTCGCCATCATGGCGAATTGGGGGGAACCATGTGCAATCGGGTTTGGCTCTGGCCCAAAGAGCACATTCCCATGACCCTGAAAGGCACTTGGCTCTATATAACCCTGAAACATTGTCCTTTCAACAATTTTGCCTCAGTCCGTGGTGACTTCCAGCCCTCGCTTTGTTGGGATGGTTTCTTTTTTTCCGCTGTCGCTTGGACTTATTTGCTTCCATATGAATCCATGGCGAAAGTAGCCTGTCCAACGGAAGGAGCATTGCAACGGCTATACCGTTTAGATGACATGCCTAGCTTTACTTGCAATGCTACCTGCTTATGCCGTAAGCTTGCAGGAGCTGCGCATGTTGGACATTGCGAGCCTGAGAGTTCGGTCGTTCCATGCTGCCCAGGCTTTGTGAGCAACCCTTTAGTGGGCAGCCAACAGGAATCTCGGTGAGTGCTAAGATCCTGTGGATCTATCCCTCCTCAAAGAAGGGTGCAGAAACACGCTGTGACCACCACAGACTTGGGATACACGTGTTCCTAGTCTGCCCAGTGTGTACGCATGAAAGCCGCAGGAGCGAAGCCTGGCCGGATGCGAGTCGTTTTTTACTGCATGATGGACATTGCGCCCTTACGCCATATGGTCCACGCCCTTTTTGGTTGGTATTTAAAGGGAAGTCAAAAAGAAACCACCTACCCGGAGGGGAACATGACATGCTTACCGCTAGCTCCATCCGGAGATGGCACGAAGCCTAAGCTTTCAACGCGCTGAGGACCGGCAGCGGCGGGCTCACGATCACTGAGTTCGAAGAGGTCTTCGACGACGAGGAGGGGTCAAAATTCGATTGGCTGTGGTTGTCAAAACCGTTTTGGGATCCCATTTTGGTTGGTAGGTGAATTCACCAGGTGTGGCGGCTGCTCAGTTGGCCCGAGTGCTTGTTATTTGCTGTGTGGTTTCATGTGCATGGCTGGTGGATAGTTGGCAAGTGTGCCTATTCATTCATTATGCGGTGTTTGGCTGTAGCTGGCGCTCAGTTGGCCGGTGCCAGCGCTCTTTCTTGCATGGCGAGTAGCAGGTGCTTAGTTGGGGCGTGGGCGTGTCGTTTCTGACGTGGTGCGTAAGTGTGCCAGGTGTCTAGCCCTGTCATTTGTTGCGCGGTGTGAGTATGGCTGGCGTTCGGCAGGCGTGTGTGTGTGTTTGTTACGTGTTGATGCGGTGTGTGACTGAGGCGAGTGCTTTGTTGGCGGGTGTGGTTATCATTTGGTTGCACGGTGTATGACTGCGGCGGATGCGCGTTGGCGCGTGTTCAGTTCATCCTTTGCGTGGTGCCTTTGGTTGCTGGCACGCTCATTTGTTGTGTGTGGTATGTAAGTGCTCACTTGGCGTGTGTTCCGACTTTGTCACGCAGTGTGTGACTGCGGCGGGCGCTTTGTAGGCGGGTGCGTTCATCAATTGTGTGAAATTATGCGTTCATCCAAAGTGTTTGAACATTTGTTATAGTGTTTGAGTGTGGAGGTTGTGTGTTTTTAATTCGCTGTAGGCACGCGCCTGTGGCGGGTCTTCGGCTAGTGGCCGTGCATTCTGAGTTTGCTGTGTGGTTCGTTAGTTTGGTGAGTGTTCACCTGGAGAATGGGTTGTTTGTTTGTTGTGTGGTCGCTGGCTGTAGGCGTTTGGCCCGAGTGCTGATGGTTTGCTTGTGTGATGTGTGAATGTGATCGGTGTTCAGTTGGCAGGTGTGATTTTGTTTTGTTGTGTGGTATGTGATTTTGGCAGGTACTCTGTTGGCGCGTGTGTTTCTGACTTGTTGTGTGGCGAGTGGCTGCTCGTTGAATCCCGAATGCGAGGATGGGGCCTTCCCAGTACCGAATCCCGTATCCCGAATCCCGAAATGTGATTCGAGTCCCGAATTCCGAACATGTGCATCCCGAATCCCGAATCCCGAAAATGTGATTCGAGTCCCGAATCCCGAATCCCGAAAATGCGATTCGAGTCCCGAATCCCGAATCCCGAATCCCGAATTCCGAATCCCAGAAATGTGATTCGAGTCCCGAATCCCGAATCCCGAAAATGTGACTCGACTCCCACATCCCGAATCCGGAATCCCGAACATGTGATTCGAGTCACGAATCCCGAATCCCGAAAGTTTGATTCGAGTCCCGAGTCCCGAATCTCGAATCCCGAAAATGTGGTTTAATCGAAGTGATTAAATCCCGAATCACGAAATTGGCAGCGACCTCCGGATCGCCACTCATCCCCACCCAGCCTTTGCATATGCACCGCGAACAGCTTGCTAGCAGGCATTACCTGGCACGCCAGCAGGCTTCATGGCAAAACTGATGCATGGCAAGCGAGGTTTCTATTCGGGATCCCCCGACCAACCAGATTTATGAAATTCAATGCGACATGGATCTCCCAAACCTGTTTTGCATTGAACACATGACACAATCCGGATCCAGCCATGATTTGATTGCTGTGCGTCCCAAACTCAATTCTATGAACAGTGAAAACATGCCCCTCATTGATTGCATCCGTTGCTTTGAGCACTAAAATCCTGTTGAAGGCTCTGAATGCACCAGTCGCACAACCCGGCAAGGCAAAATATACTGTTTTGGGTCTGTTTCAAATCTGTTCGGCCCGGTTCCTGGAACCAAGTTCTATGACCCCGCTATAGCGGGAACCAAGCTGGTTCCTGACATATAAGTTACCGGAAGCCCCGTTCTAGCCACCTTCACGGAAAGACTGATTGCCGGGTTCCCATAGTCATCATAGTGCAATCGCATCGTTCAGAACCAACAAATGTCATTTCCTATGGCCACTTGGCACGGGTCCTCCAAAGGCTGTCGGTTCCAAACAAACGCCAAGCCAAGAGCCGTCAAGGTTGGACCCACTGAGCGTCGGTTCGGCGAATAGCCATTGGCGTTTGTGCTGTCACTTACCTATGCAGCCCTATGGGCATGGATTGGTTGGAGCGCGCCCGTCCGTTTAGGAGTACGTCAGCCACCAAAGCTACTGCTTTCCTCGGAATTTACCGGCGCTGAGTTTGAGGGGCCCACCAAGTTCAAAGTGAAAGGGTACCTGCGACGCGAAGTCGGCAGAGGCCTCTTCCTCTTGAAGCACCCGCTTCTTTTCGGACAGCATGGGAGATATCAGTCATTCGTTCAGAGCATGGAGAAACCACGCAGCAATCTTCCAACGCTTCGTCTCTGAGGCTCCTAAGTGTCCAGCCTGAAACGTGACATGGGGAGAAAAAAGCGCATTGGCGCAACCACTGTCTCCGGTGGGTCGTGGGTTGTTCGCAAGTCGATGGCGCAGAGTAGCTATTAAAACTTCCGCCGTGCAGGACATGAAGGCTTTGTTGGAATCGATTGATATCACCGCAACGGACGCCTGGACACTCTTCAACAGTCTCAATATCGACGGGGATAACCTGCTGACGCTGGACGAGTTCACCGAGGTCGGGTCGTGCTTAGCAATGGAAAAGCCAGGGAGGCCTATGGAAAGGGCAAAATCTTGCTTGGTTCAAAAGAGCTTGCAACAGGTTTTACCCGAACCACATGGAACCCCCAGTCATCAGAGGTTCATGAATGAGCAAGGTTCTGGATTCACCGTTGCCAATAGCGCACCTGTCAGAAGCTGATGTTTTTCTTTTAGCATTGCAGCATTCACCAGGGTGTGAGCTGACCTGCGCCGACCCCCAGCTTGACAGACTTTGCACTGATTGCTCAGGCTCGTCGGGTTCCCTATGCAATAAACCACAACTGGAACAGCCCTTGAGAGGCTTTGAGGGCCCTCAGCCAAGAGGTCCATCAAGAACTATTGGGGCACCCAAAATTGTGGTGTTCCTTTAAAGTTTAACCAATCTGATCCCTAAAAACAACACACCCAAACAGTTCTCGTGAGGGCTGCCTCCTACTTCGTGGAGCAGCTCGTTCTGTGGACATGTACGCGTTGAAGCAGCAGATTAGGAAGCTGCGGGAAGACGTCTCCTGCATCAATCAGGCCGGGCCTTTGGGCACTGACCGCCCATGTTGTTGCTGCTTGAGTGCTTGGTTGGCTGGTTCGTTGGCTGCTTGCTCTCAGCATAGGGGCAGTGAAGTATTACACCATTTGAAGGGGTAGTCAGGTGGCACAGGTTCCACCTTTCCTGGAAATTTGGACATCGGAAGGAAGCGCTTGGACCTTGGCAATGTTGTTAGTGTTGCTCATATGTATGTGGTGTCGAGTGAGTGATAGAAGATTTGATGGCTGTCAAGAGCTGACAGTGTGTGTGTGTGTGGTTGTGGTTCTGGTTGTGCTTGTGCTTGTGGTTGTGCTTGTGCTTGTTTTTGTGATTGTGTTTGTGTGTTTCGCTGTGGTTGCGATTGTGGTCGTGGGTTGTGCTCGTGGTTGTGGTTGTGTTTGTGCTTGTGCTTGTGTTTGTTTCTGTTTCTGTGTTTCTGTGTGTGTGTGTGTGTGTGCATTTCCGTGCGCGTGTGCCTGCGCGACGGCGTGCTTGCGTGAAGACGTGCTTGCTCGCGTGTGTGTGTGTGTGTGGGTGGGTGTGGGCGTGCGGGCGATCGTGCGTGCAAGCGTGC